GTTTATTGTTATTTCAATAATTAGTTTTATATTGTCAAACGACAACAAAATATTAAAAAAACTCTCAATGCACTTTTTTTTCGTTATAGTCCTTCACTTTTTTTAAATAATTATTTTTAGAGTAAATATTTTATATTATAATGATAATAATATAAATATATTTATATTATTATTTAATCATAAAATATGAAGTATATAAAAATATTTTAAATTTTATAAAAATTATCTTGAGAATTATTTTTATCAAGATTTTTAATTAGATTGACATCATAAAAAGTAAACTCTTATTTTTATTTGGGGTTGTGAACTTGTGACTTTGAAAATAATAACAATGGCATTTAAGTGACATTTACCTTTTTTATTTTTGGTAAAATATTTTATTTGTTTACAATCTTTAATGGAGAGATAATTGTATATTTTTAAGTTAAATATTAAACTAACATGTTTGTTATTTTTAATAAATTCTTTATATTATGTTATTATTATTTCAAAAATTATAAACAATTGAATGTTATCTAAAAAAATTGATATTTTGTAATTTTTTTTAATAAAATAAAACAAACGGTACATAGAAAAATCATTAATTTACGGGTGAGACATGATATTAAACTAAAATTTTAAAGGCTTGAGAAAATAGAGAGAAGCATGTGAAGAAATGATATTAGAAAAATAAAAGCTGAGTTTTGGGAGAAGATGAAGATGAATGATGTGATATGAATGAACGAGTGTTTGTAATTATTATGAGCACAGTTGATAAAAGATCAGCATTTAATCATATCATAATAATAGTAATCATGATTTTGATTATTATCTTTGCGACCACAATGTCATTATCCTGTTCAAAAATCTGAATTATCACTCTCATTCGTGTGTTATGTGGCCTCTGCTTCATTGGTCTGACTTTTGCAAACAAACTTCTTATCGAATGGATCATGCCTGCTTACTTGGCATTTCCACTGTGCTAATTACATGCTTACTTCACGTCACAATCACAAACATCACAACTGCATTATTGCAAGACCATTTCAACACAACAAAAACAAATTAATTAACTTGACCCAAAATGGAGAAAATGGGTTGGGCTTTCAAATTTATATGTTATACATCCGACAACAAAGATATCCATATATACTCATCTTCAACTTTATAATATATATATATATATATTTAGGACAAAAATATTACGGATAATACTTCAAACATGAAAATTAACCCTAGTGATTTTATTATAGCGGAGATGAGTTTGAGACATACTTATTTTTAGATGAAATATTACCGTTCAACATAAGATCGAGAATAAAGTCTCACTTTCACTTATATTCCTTAGTCTCAATCAATGTTAAAGATAATTTATATTCATCATTCTCTTTAAATTATTAAGACGAAAACTCTAAAGCGAACAATACCTCGAACATAAGAATTGATCCATATAGTTTATATACGTTCTCTCTCAACCTACTAAGGCGTTTTTTAAGGATGAGAGTTCAAAAATAATTTATATATATCATCCTCTCTCAACCCACCAAAGCGTCTTTTAAAGACGAAATCATTATGAACGAGAATTCAAAAATAGACAATAGATCAGACATAAGAATTTGATCGAGACACTCTCGTTTATAGACAAAACACATTCAAATTTAATAATTAATAAAGATTTGACCTTTTTTTCATGAATATTAAAAAAATTTATTAAATATATTAAATAAAAAATATTTTATATTTTATATTTTTTTATTATTTATTATTTATATATTATTTATCTAAAAATCGTTGGAGAAAATTGACTGCTTATGACTTATTGGCCATCTAAACAGCCTCATGCTATTTAGTTCCAATTAATTTATTTTCTCCAATACATTTCAAGTAAGAACTTTTACAATATATATATATATATATATATATATATATATATATATATATATATATATATATATATATATAAAAGCTATCAAACTGAAAATCCTAATAGATATTCATACATAATAAAATGAAAAAATTGTTATCATTTTGAAACAAGAAAGTTTTGTTTTGTTTAGTATTCAAGCAAAAGTTTTATGTATAAACATAGTTAAGAATGATGAAATATGTAAATTGAGTTTACTTTTGAAACTGAGTTTGGAATACTCCAAACAAAAAAATCAAACATAGTTATTATTACTCCATATTGATAAGTATTGGAGATGTTAGCTTAAATTTATTATAATCATGATACAATTTATATAAAGCAAACTTAATCATAGAAGACTCTGCAATGGGCAAGATTTGGTTTTTAAGGATTCATAACAATTTTCTTTAACTCCCATTAATGACAAAGATATACCTACCACATTGAACTCCACAACAAAATCTAATTTAATATTCAGTTATTTCACATTTTCTGTATTGATTCTTCAACGAAGTTGACTGAGAGAGAAGGTGATAAAGCAGCCACCATTTATCACCCTATTGGTTGCTCAAGGTTAATACCATCCCCGGAAGAAAGTTATGAACATGTGTGTTGGAAGCCAATTATGTTATAGCAATAGAAAAACATTATAGACTATTCCTTCTCTCTCCCTCTCTCTCTCTCTCTCTCTCTCTCTCTCTCTATATATATATATATATATATATATATATATATATATATATATATATATATATATTCTTCTCACTGACTTTTCATCAAGAAAAGAACCAAATCGAAGATTTCTAATTTGGACAAAGGAGAACCACGTTGAATCTATTCTTATACCAAAGCAGACATCATGGGATAATTGATAACAAGGACAAAGAAAATCTTGCTTGTAAAATCATTTTCAATGATGGGTTACGATGGAAGTTGACGTGAACATTAGTTATGATAAGAGAATTAGAATAAGGAAAATAAAGAATGTTGTTGATTGATCAAATTGTATTTTGGATTAATTAATTAATAAGTTTTAGTTTAGTTTTATTGCAAGTAATAAGAGCCAAATTAGAAATTTAGTTAGTAGTCTTTGGGAGACCAAGAGACTGTATAACTGATTGACTTTTGGTTGTCTCAATTTCAGTTACAGTCAGTCATTAAGTAGTTTTCAATTCGTAAATTAATGAATCATTATTAACATTTATTTTCTTTTATTGAATCTTTCTAACTCTGATTATAAAACTTCTATGTAAGCTGAACCATTTTTATAAAAAATAACAAGTGAAATTTTATTCAGAAATATTAGAGTTTATCTCTTTTATCTTAGTGAGAGAGATTCTCCTAAATTCTTGAGTGATTTAAGAGCCTTTGGGTTGTATCAAATGACTTTCACATCCTTTGTGAATTACCTTCGTTGGGAAGAGTGATTCTTTTCTTCCACCTTATCACTAAATTCCTAAATTTCTTACAAGATTTTAACCCTAAATATCCTAAATCATCTCTTGTGCTATTGAGATTCATATCAGAACCACATTGGGTTCTTAAGTGTGACCCACAGTGTCACATCATATTTAAATAACTCTCTTCAAATTTTTACAAATTCACTCCAATGGTAGGTTCTTATAAACAACTTACCATTCATCTATCACTTTTGACTTTGGGACTCGCTATGTCATATTAGTAATAATTATAATATATAATTAATTATTAAAATAAAATAAATAATATATTTAAATTAAAAAAATTAAAAATAAATTTGATATTGGAAATACGATTAATATTAATTAAAATATAAAATATTAAACAACAATAACAATAAAAATAAACAAAAAAATATTAAAAATATGAAATGATAAATGGATGTATTTTCCGATTTGTTGAATTCTCTTTGTTGAATTCGATTGGTTGTATTCTCCGATTTCTTGAATTCCGTTGGAGAGAACCACAAAAACAAACTGTAAAAAATTAGGAAAAACAACTCTTAGAAACGTTGTTTCTACAAAATACGATACTTAACTTTTCAAAATTGTTGTTGTCACATCGAATTATTTCAACAAAATAGTATTTTATAAACACTGTTACTTATAAGTAATTGAGCCATAAACAACTCTGGTCAGAATTGCTCTAAGATTCGTAGCAGTATTTGTGCTACGAATATGAAATATATAAATTCATCTATTTAATACATTGTTGAAATATGAATAAAATGTCTGTAAAAAAGTAAAATATTCTCAAATTTAGATTTTGAAAATTAAGACTATAGTGTTTTATATTAATTGTTGATTGTACACAAATCTGCATGGTTTGAATTGAATATAATAATAATTTAACAACTGAGTGGAGAATATATATTAAATTGACAACATTAAGTTGGCAACAAAAGAGATTATATCATATAACTATTATTTTTCTACCCTTGAAGAGAAAAGGGAGATCTTTCATGATGCTGGTATAAAATATTATTTTTGGTCTAAGATCCCTTTAGCAGCTGCATTTGGGACTCACTTTTTAACTGCAGTGTTTACAGAGACAAAATTTTCTTTCACACCTATTGTTTTTATTAGCATACTTACTCGAATAAGTACTTAATCAAGGGATCAAACTTCTTGTCCCTTGTGCAAAAAGTGATATTACCTGCATAAAATATTAAGTTATGGAGTTCGATTCAAGTGAATTTGTTCTTTGACATAAATAACATAGCCAAGTTCCAGGTCTCAACCTATAAAACCATTGTTTCTTATGATCGAATAATTAATGTGAGTATCTGACTAATAACTTGGTACTAATAAACTATAATTTTTAATTCTTCTAGAAACGAGGTAAGATGCTGAACAATGAACCTGTCCACCTTTTAATGTTTCATGGGGCAGTGACCATGAAAAGTATATGGGAGCCATAATATGGAATTTGTAACAGCAGTAGTAGTTTTTTTCTGTCTCTAGAAAAAGCAACAAAGTTCATATTGTTCACGTTGACAAAATCCCCAAAAAATATGTTGCACTGTTTGAGAGATTCAAACCATGTGTACTTACTTATATATCTTGCGTAGGCTACTTTGCATACTCATAATAACTCTCCTCTGCATATATATGCATGGTGTTTTGAGTTCTGATCAATGAGACTTGCCATGTCTATTCCTTCAAAGAGCATCATCTTTTCCAGTGAAGATGATAGTGAACTTAGAAGAGGGCCATGGAGTGTTGAGGAGGATGATCTTCTTGTCAATTACATAGCCAATCATGGAGAAGGGAAATGGAATTTGCTTGCTATACGTTCAGGTAATCCAAGAATAACTAAGAAAAAAAAATGTTGGTGAGACTCTATATGGTTTTTTGTATATTCTTTTGAACAATTTGCATGCTAATTCTGATTACTTGCTTTATCTTTTGTAATGGCTAAATTTTCTCAAGGATTAAGGAGGACAGGAAAGAGCTGCAGATTAAGGTGGCTAAATTATCTAAAACCAGATGTTAAACGAGGCAATTTAACCTTAGAAGAGCAGCTTTTGATTTTTGAACTCCACTCAAAGTGGGGTAACAGGTTCTTATCTCATAATTACTTGTCTTTGTGAAACAGTGCTTATTCAAAAGCTTTTTATTCTTGAGAAAGAAGCAAAACTGGCCACTATCAATGTGCTAGTCAATTTCAGAATAATATAAGTTCTTTGGATTCTTATTGCCACTTTTGTGATTGTTGTAGGTGGTCAAAAATTGCGCAACAGCTGCCAGGCAGAACAGATAATGAAATAAAGAACTATTGGAGAACAAGGATTCAGAAACAAGCAAGATATGTGAAACTTGAGACACACAGAACAACAACAGGATTTCTAGAATTTGTCAAGGGCCTACAGATGACAAGATGTCTTCACAGAGCACAAGAATCATCTCCTTCAACCATTTCACTCCAAGACCAAGAAATTCCTTTGCCTTTTGATGGTGCTTCTCATTATTCATTGTTTGGGATTTGGACAGCACCAACAACAGAACTCACTAGCCAGGGAGCTTTCAATCATTTGAATCAGCAAGAGCAGAACTCAGACTCTGAACACAACAATGCTTCAAGCATTTCCAATTCAGAATCAGTAATTATCCCAAATATGACTCAACCTTTGGGGTACAATGCTAGTCAAGTTCAGGCCTTAGACAACAGTGACTTTGGCATCTCTTTATGTGATGGCTACAGCATATATAACAATGCCTATGACATGAATGCCCTCAACCTGACAGCCACAATGGATGCTGAGAAAATGGAACTCCCACTCATTGGTTGCCAAATATCAGAAACCAACTGGCTAAACATGGAATTTGAATGTAGCACATGGATCAATGATGAATTATGGCAGTTTAGGAACATACAAAGATGAGGATTTAGATTTTAGAGTACTCTTTCAGAACCACTCACAAACTACCTTTTATATATAGTGCTTGTTAATCGATTGTTGAATGAATAGCTTAGCTAGCTACCAATATAAATGTAAAGAATATTTTCATGAAGATGAATGTATTACAGCTAAGTGTGGACAAGAAAAGCACAGCTGATGATTCAATTCTTGATTATACTTGTGAATATGTGATTGATGAATCCATTTTGCTAACAAGTTGTATAGTTGAAATGGAGTTGATATTCACAAGCCCAAAACATAAAAATTGAAAATTTGAGTGTAAAACCATAACACTATCAAAGATTTCATAAATGTGCTTGAAGAGTCAAGACTTGAATTTGATTCTAGGACTACAGTTGGAAGGGAATATATAAAGATTTCATGAACATTTCAAAGTAACCTTTTTTTCAAACTTTGATAGGAAGATTATTTGTTTTGTTCAGTAAAAGTCATTGAAAACTATGATTGAACAAAGGATTAATAGAGAAAAAAGTGAAAGTAAGCAACCGACTGTGAAACGTCTAGAAAAAACTGTCAGTAACATTTTTTTTTTGTAATTTTTTGACAGAAATATGTAAAATCATTTTTGTTAACAAATGTATTATATACTCTTAACAGAAAGTAGTGAAGAAGTCAGAGAAACAGACCTCAAGAAAAGAAAGTCATGTATAGAATATTAAAACTGATATATTCTTTAGAGAATTTAAAACTATTTATAACCAAATATTTTGTTAATAGGAATTTTTTTTTAAAATTGAAATTTTAAGAATTTCAATAAATTAAAAAATTGCATAATTTATGATAATAATTTATTGTTTTAAATTTGATTGTTTAAAATTCCAACTTACAAATAAAAATAAGAATTAAATTATTTTCATATTTTCTTCTTTTTCAAAATTTATATTTTTTAAAAATGTTATTTTTAGTTAATATATCTTTTACTCGGATATCTTTAATTTAATTGCAATGGAGATATTATTGACTTAGCATCTTTTTAGATTAATATATTTTTCAATTATGATTATTTTTTACCTTTATCATCAAAATTACTTTTTAGTATTAAATATAATTATTTTTAATTAATGTAAATTGAGATTTTTTTATCAATATCAATTCAAATTTATTTTTTAGTATTAAATATAATTATATTTAAATGTCTTTAAAAACAAGTCAATTATAAAATTCTGGTATCATTTTTTTATTTAATACAAAATTTACTTCAAGTTTGTTCAATTTAAAATCAATTTTCAAATATCCAAATATTTTCTTAAAATCTCATTAACTAATATTTCAATATTCTTCTAAATAAATCATGAAAGGTTCGTGGATTAATCGCTACTAAATTATTTTACCTTTAACAATACTATTTGTTATTTTATACGGTTAATTTTTTATAAAAAATTATCAATATATCTTATTTATAAATTATAACATTTCATTAATTATTATAAAAAAATAATAAGTTATTAACATAATATTACATAAAAATTAAAATAATAAATATATTAAAAAAATAATAAATTTATTTAAAATAATAAAAGTAATGTTTACATTAATTTATGAAGGCAAATCTTCAGAAATATTAAGAAACATATGAAAGTATTATTTATTCAAATCTTAATAAATAATTATATTAATAAGAAATATGATTATATCTTTTAAAAAATATTTGTAATTTATATAGAAAAATAAAATACAAATGCCTGAAAAAATTATTTAAGTTTTATTTACAGAAACATAATTTTTTTTAATAATAAATGGTTAATTGAACGGCCAGGATACATAATTCTCTCATGGAATTGGGGCCGTCCATGTGTACTAAAAATTCAATCCGAGTCGTTCACTAAATGTTATAAAGCAAAACCACACGTTAGGGTTTCACTGCGAGGAAACAGAGCAGAGACTCACTCTTTGCAGCGGCACTTGGTGGCTTTCATCTTCTTAGGGTGAGGTAGGATCCCGATTCCCTTAGCATTGTGTCACTCTGCAACTTCTTAGACAAAGTCGACGGAAAACAAATAAAAGCTCTCAGCTTTAGTTTTTTTGTTCATTTGCGTAATGGCTGCTATGGAAATTCAATTGCTGATTATGTTTTGTTTGGAGTGGATTATGTGGAATTCGCTTTAGATAAAAAGGGGTCTTGCTTTTTATATTTATTTGTATTCCTTTTAATGAGATTCAGAAAAAATGTAGCACCACCCTTAGCATGTCTGAAAGTAATAACAATATTTGATTTCTGAGTTTCATTATCTGTAACTTGACACAAGTGGCATGAATATTAGTGTTAGTTGTTGTGTCACACTTTTGTAACTATTAGGTGTTGTAACCCTTTAGCAATGTTTGATTTATTTATAGGTTTATAGATAGTTTTCTTCTAATCTCCATGATACATTATTCAATGAATGGGAGAAGTGTCTAATTAAATTATCTGACCAATGTTTAAGTTGTCAAATCGGTAAATGACACTGATGAGAAAAAGTGAAAGATTGTTGTATCACTTAGGTTGTTATCTCAATGTTGAGAATAGTTGGCTTATTCGAGCGGATATGTTCTGTAATCTAGGAAGTTTGTTATGAAAATGGTAAGATGTGACTAGGATTAACAACTTGTTTCTTAATTATTTTAGTACTAGTATGATATCTGATGCAGTTTCAATTAATCTATCCGCATGATCACAAGGCCGTGCTTGTTGTCAGATTTTTACTTGTTAAACTACTCTCATTTTATAAGGCTTATCCTACAACATTCACCTAACTCTATTTGTTTGCAGTGTCAAGATGTATACATCACGGAAGAAAATCCACAAAGATAAGGATGCTGAGCCAACTGAATTTGAGGAGTCAGTTGGACAGGTTTGGTTTGATTCTTTACACATTTGCTGATGACCAGTTTCAAATGCAATGACTTAAACTTCTTTTTTCAAAATTTGTTGTTGCAGGCATTGTTTGATCTTGAAAATACCAACAATGAGCTGAAAAGTGATCTGAAAGATTTATACATAAATTCAGCTGTGTAAGAATGTATTTTAAATGTTGTTTTATGGGAAGAACAGATTTCTGCTTGCCTCTTGACTACCATTTGTCATAATCTGCAGTCAAATTGATGTTTCTGGGAACCGCAAGGCTGTGGTTATCCATGTCCCCTACAGATTAAGGAAAGGATTCAGGAAGATCCATGTCAGGCTTGTGAGAGAACTTGAGAAAAAATTTAGCGGGAAGGTTGGCAGAGTCGTGTCCCTTTCATATATAATATATATATATATATATATATATATATATATATATATATATATGTGGTGGATTCAATAGATTGAAAATTATTCCTGATATCCTTAAACATATGTTATCAATATTCTTCTATTCTTTTAAATCTCTTGCTATCCCCATGTTCTTGTGTTGCTTTTCTCTTTGTATGCAACTGTTCTAGTGACCGATAAAGCTTAAATTAAGCAAATATCTATGTAGTTGCTTTGTTGACATAATAAAATTAGCCATGAAAATCATGTACCCTTGACCGTCATATGTAGTTCGGATTTTTTTTTTTACTTAATTTTTTTGTATGTTCATGACCCTTAATCATGTAGGATGTAGTCCTGATTGCCACCAGGAGGATATTGAGGCCACCAAAGAAAGGTTCAGCCGTTCAGCGTCCTCGCAGCCGGACACTCACTGCTGTGCATGAGGCAATGCTGGAGGATATTGTATTACCTGCTGAGATTGTTGGAAAGCGTGTTAGGTATAGAATTGATGGTTCTAAGATCATGAAGGTAAAGTTTATACCAAAGAACTTCCTAAGTTATTCTTAAAGTCTTATTGTGTTCAATCAAATCTCTACTCAAGCAAGCTGCTTTGAAATACTTCTGCATTAATTGTTGTTCTCGCTGCATAGGTGTTTTTGGACCCCAAGGAGAGAAACAACACTGAGTACAAGTTGGAGACTTTTGCTGCAGTATACAGGAAGTTTTCTGGCAAAGATGTTGTGTTTGACTATCCTACAACCGAGGCTTAGGTTCCATCTGTAGGCTCTGAATTTGTTCCTGAATTACATTACATATGGAGGATGCTGGTTTTGTTAAGATGGTTTTATATCCGGATTTTCTTTAGGCACTTTTAGAAATACTGTGTCCTGGTTTATCAATGTAGAATTTTGTTAACGATTCTATTTCTAAGATTTTTGTCAAGGTGGTTGGTTCTGGAATGAAAGTGAATTTGTTTTTGCTTAGGATAAAATCTCTTCTTAAAATGCATATAGGAGAGAAAAATAAAACAAGTTTAGGTCATTCTAATTTTATACCTACAATAAGAGTAAAAAAAAAAAAAAATTCAGTCATGAATCTTTTACTTGATTTTTTTAAGAAGTTGAATATCCCTAAGCCATACTTAATTGCCTAATTTTCATCTCTCTAATTGTTCACGTATTATTCAGCTGTGTTTTTCCGATTGTTCCAGAAGATTGTATAGTCCTATTAAGCAAACCAAATATTATGGAAAGAACAGAGTTTTCCATTGATAATTAAACTAAAACCGTAAGTGTTGTGTTTTCTAAAAGGAGATTCTCGTCCTTGTTATCAACGAATTATTTGTAGCCTGATAATAATTTATTATACAAGAGTATCGTTAATGCAGAAAAGCCGAAGGTCTCGATCCTTGTATATTATTAAATGCACCAAGCTATTTCTCCCTCTTTTTTGGCACCAAGCGTATCTCCAAATAATAGTTCTAATCCTTTCGAAATGTAAAGATGAATGACGTGAATTTTATCCTTTTCAATAAAATATTCTGAATTCACATAGTCAAGATTCAAACCCATTTATCAATCAGTTATGTCGAATTTTGTTCGTCAGCAAACCAATTCTCTATTAAGATAACTACAGTGATACAAAAAGAATGCCCTTACATATATAGAGCTTCTATTATATATGGATCGAGGTCATCTGCCTTCATCAAAAGAAGAGGTAGATATAGAATTTCTAGAATAATCATCTACAAAACTACCACTACCACCTGAGACCCTGGTACCACTACTAGCATTGGTATTGGTATTGGTCAAAGCAGATGATGTAGTTGTAGTCCAACGTCCTGTACGACCTTGAATTCCTGGTTTACCTGGTCTTGGCAAAGTGAAGGAATCACTTGAGAGCATGAGATGAACAGCATTCATGTCAGGTCTTTCAATTATGCTTGCTTGGCAGCACAATAAACCTAGTTGAATGCACATGGCTGCCTCATCACCATTGTATTTACCGAGGGATGGATCAATTAAGTCCATTATCCTCCGTCCTTGATAGAGCGACCATGCCTACAAAATTCAACGAAGAAAATGAACAAGTGTGAATGAAATGGTCACATTAACTTTCTTAATGATTGGTTTAAGTTTATGGTTTAAGATTCATGTTAACCCCCTTTGACCACATAAGTCCAATAGTAGGCACTAAAATATATTTGTCATGGTTTCATAAATGCATGTTTTGTTGTCCAGTTTCATCTTAGATTTCACCAAAAAAAAATGTTTAGTATGTTAGATGCTCAATGGGGCCATTTCAATGCAAAAAACTTACACAAACCAAATCATACGATTGCATATTATCAATGACGTGTCTTATTTGTGTGTACAATAGTCACACTGAGGTTAGAACCCTCAACTAATAACAAGTGGTTCCTACCGAAATCTGATCTTACTACATACTAAAAAAAAATAGCAAATATGGAAGACAAATCAACGTCAAATGAAATATGGTCATAACACAATCATTTCCTTTACAAAAGTTGGTAAACGAAAGCTTATCAATAAAAATTAGGGATTATCAACAGCATGTGACCTTTATCCCTACCTCAAACACCTTTGAGTATTTTTACCTTGATTATTGAACAAGTTTTTGTGAAATAATTTTAACATCAGACTGTTCTAGTGCACAAGACTCCACTACTATGGATTCAAGGTAGAAGGGTCAAACCTATGCTACCTTTATTCATGTAGGTGGAGAGCCTAATTTGTGCCTAGAGTTGTGACCACCCCAGGTTACATTACACCAAGGTCAACCTTAAACAGCTATACATGGTGTAACCGAGATAAAGACTTGTGGAAGAAGTCCTGTCATAATTCATCGAGAAGCATGCTTGTTTGGGTAACTTTAACGTATATAAGTAAATATCCAGAACAAGCATCATTACAATGTAATGACACAGCACTTTTCCATTTTATTAATTAGCAGACGCTTAGAAAATATGCATTTTTTTTGGCCAAAAATATGCACATTAGTTAATTTATAACAAGAATCTCGTCCATGAGCATAAGTTGACCATACTAATTTTGCATTAACGTATGCCATCTGATCAACTTACATAGCTCAAGAGATCTGCTTTTTCTGAACCCAGTCGCAAATCTTGGTTTTTTCTCCCACTAACTATTTCCAACACCAGGACTCCATAACTGAAAACATCCGTCTTCACAGACAGATATCCCCGCAATGCATATTCAGGAGCCATGTAACCACTACATTCATAAAATATAAAGTGTAAGGATACCAACACACCTGAATAACAAACACCAAGAAGGGAAGTATCTACTCACTGTGTACCAGAAATCCTAAATGTCAGCAGATGAGTGTCCTCCCCAGGAAATAGCTTTGCCAAACCAAAGTCTGAAATTTTTGGATTTAACTTCTCATCCAACAATATGTTACTAGCTTTAATGTCCCTATGAATAATTCTTTCTGGGGCTTCTTCATGCAGGTAGAGAAGTCCTCTTGCCACACCAGTAACTATTCTGAATCGTGTTGCCCAATCCAAGGATGAAGACTTTCTCTTATCTGAAAAATTTTATGTTTTATAAATTTTTGTTAATCAATCATTTTCCACAAACAATCACAAAACAAAAGTAAATAAATAGATGAAAAAACATCTCTTGTCAATACCAAATAGAAAGTGATCAAGACTTTTGTTAGGTAGATACTCATAGACAAGCATCTTTTCAGGCCCTTCTGCACAGCAACCAAGTAATGTAACCAAGTTCTTGTGCTGAATTCTGAGTAATAGCATGACTTCATTGGTGAATTCTTTAACACCTTGTCTAGATTCCAATGACAGCTTCTTAACAGCTACTTCTTGACCATTTGGCATCATTCCCTGCACAAAGCATGCATAATTTGATTAATTATGTGTAATACTTTTAAATAATACATCAACTTTCCGATTAATTTGCTTCCTAACTACGGGAAGCAACCAGGGTCACTTTAGGCCTGAAATTTCAACATTAAGGACTAGTACTGTTCATGACTGATCTTTAGTCATCGAGTGACTAAAATCTGAAAAAACACTATTATAGTTTTAAAAGTTCATAATTTTAAGAATTTAACTAGAGTGCATTCAAACATAAAACATTTTTCATAATCATAAATTACTCTGATAAAAAATTTCTTTGAGAAATCATTATTTTAAGAATTATATAGTGATAGTTTGAAAACATAATTTCTTCAGTACATTTATCTTATATTTTAGTTGTACAATTTTATCCCACTAGATATTTTGGTCAGTGAATTGGTTTTTCTGTCCGAGGGACATAACCTGGAGAAAAAAAGAATTGAGTTGCTGATGTAATTTGGTAAACTACTTGTAATTATATTTCAATCCTCGGTTCAACGTGTGCCAATAGGACCTTCTTCCGTAAAAGAAATGCGATTTTAATATTTAAAGATTACAATTATGTCAAGTTAGTATACTGTGATTGAGCGACTAAATTAGTAATTTGAGAATTGGAATCAGGGGACTAAAATCAGAAATGTGCAAAATATATTTTGATGAAGCAACTAATTAGATTTTGAAATTTGAAGAGGAGAAAGGAGTATGGTACCTTGAAGACGGGACCAAAGCCTCCATGACCTAGCTGGTTGAGGTTGGAGAAGAAGTTAGTGGCGAGTTGAAGAGTGTGGAGGGGGAAGATCAGGTCCATGGAGTCCCCGGGCCCGTTGGGATCGTCGTGGTGGTCGCCACCGTCGTCGCCGGAGGTTGCGCCGCCCTTGCGCAGACATGGACACAACCTGAAGAGAAAGGTCATGAGATTTCCGAGGTGGCAGCACTGACTTTACGGTTGACTCTGCTGTCCGGTCATAAGTTCTCTCAACCCAATGGATGTCTTCCTTGTACAACCTCTCCCTCCGTGTTTTATTATATATATTCAAATTCTCTTATTTCTAATTTAATGAATTATTATTTCATGTTATAAAAAATAGATAATTAAAAAAAAATAGCTCATATAATTGTTCAAGAATGATTTCTACTTTCTCATATCATCCAATAATTTATATGAAAATTTTGGGAAACTCCGGATAATTTATAATTTTTTTACTTTAAACTTTATATATATATATAATATATAATTTTATATCTTTTATAATAATATTGTTAGAATTTATAATTATTTAAATTATTATTATTTTAGAAGATTCATCCTTCACAAATTTTAATTTTAAAAGATTAATATAAATGACTACCCTTAATCCTAATTCTTAATCAATACGAAATTTATAAATATTCGAAATCCAATCAAACTAAAAATTATGAGTAAAACGAAACATAATATTAATTATTATACAAAATATTAAAAAAATAATAATTAAAAAAAATATATTCTTCCGGATAAACTTTCTTTAATAATAAGATTCGAAAATAACCTTTTAATAAAAAACACACTAAACATTTTCCGTTGAAGATGATGATGCCATTGCTTTCTTGGTCCAATCAGTGGCAAAAGGTTTTCTGTTTTTACTTTATTGTTATATTGTAAGTCCAAGTATGTTTTTGGTCAAGACGAGAGACTCGTTTAATTTTATTATTAAATTTTAGCTTTTGTTTTTTTAGTAAAAGTGATTAAATATGATACTATTTTCTTTTATTTAAAATAGTATACTAATTTGGACGTTTATATAATAACAATTTTAAAATTTATTTTAAATTTCTTGCCCAATAACATAATTTTCCGAATTAGTTTTTTTATTTTTAAAATATCATTAAAATTCTTCTTCGTTATGATCATGTCATGTTATGTTAGAATACGAGGAAAACAAATAAAATAAATGAAAATATAGATAATAATGCAATTATTTATTTATTTTAATATAAAATAAAAAGAAAATAAAACTATTAATTTCTAAGATTTTAAGAATTCAAAAAAGTAACGAAGATGTTAGCATATACATTTAACAGTAGCTCAAATTCATAAAAAAAAATTGAAAAATATGTTGTTAAAATATACATTTAACAGTTTTTAAAATAAATTTTAAATTATATCTGTATTTCTGAACAGATTTTTGACTTTCATTTTTATTTGTAAAGTTATCTCATAAAATTATCTTTTAACAAATTATTTGAAAAAAAATATTCTGATCATAATTAATAAGCATATAATTACTCGTTAAATACAGTGATTTGGATTTTATAATAGACTCAATCAAACAAATAAAACTTGAAATTTTCATTTTCATTTTTAAAAACAATTTTCTCTCTCTTATTTTAGTTTATAATTGACCTTGGCAAACAGAAGAGACAGAACATTGGAATATTGAAAGTGTTGGATTCTCTTTTTGTCCCTTCTAAATCCTTTGTTCAAAAAGTGCACTTGTCTTAATTCATTAAATAATCTCTCTTTTTAATTGATAATAATATTGATCGAGTCAAACACCCCAATTTCCCTAAATTTTCTTCCATGTCATCTTTATTTTTCCTCTATGCAACACATTTACACTGAAATTTCAGACTTTTTTACATGATGTATTTCAAAAGCATTATATATTCTTTGAGTTTTATAAATATTACACATACACCTTAAATAAGATCATTAGATGAGGGCACAAATTAAAGGATTTGGGTGTAATTACCTAAGAGAATTCTTAATTCAATGTTTAAGTTTACTGGTCAATAGAAAATGCAATTTGAAAATATAATTAAATAAACAACACACTCATTTTGTCAACCAAGTAGTTGCCACTTCTTTCTCAAATTTATTATTTCCACACCAAGTTGTGCTTCAACGTTTATATATAAAATAAAAGTCTTGCTTAAAAAAAACGAAGTGAATCATATTTTTTATATATAATTATCTATTAATCACCATTTTAAAAAAACTTAAAATTATGATAGATTTGAGTTTAAATTCTAAAATGAATGATAATTTAAATATAACATTATTAATTATTATACATATAATTTGTAATCATTAATTCTTCTCATAATAGTGATTATCAATAAAAATTAAAAAAGTGAATGAATTATACATACAACTTTTAAATGTTTAAAATTAAAAATTTGAATTGTAAGCATTGTCTCCTTGGTGAAAATGAGAGATTACTTGTTTGAACAACTCATTGTTTTTTCAATTAATATGAGCTTGCTAATTTGACATATAGTGAAATCAACAACTCCATCGAATTGACCCTTAAGACTTGCCTTTTTATAAAGTTACCATAAAGTATTTGAGTTTATACAATGTTTTCAACATTTTAATTTAATTTGGTATAAGAATAGTTTGTTGTGCTTATAAAAGATTTTATAAGATAAAACTTTTTTTTTTAAATAATATATTTTTTGGTGGGAGCTAAAAATCGCACATTTGAAACATGTTTTTCATAATTTTTTAATTTAAAATAAAATATCATATTTGAAATCACTTTTTTTGTATCTTTTTAATTTCCACTTGGGTTTACAAAATTGTTAATATTATATTTTCAAAAGAAAAATTCAAGTTTATCTTTATATTTTTTTAAACAATAAATATAATTTATGAAAAAAGTTATGTAATTTTAAAAAATAAAAGTTGTGTTTTGATTTATTATTTCAACTTCAATTGTAATAATTAAAAAAAAAATCGTATAAACCAACTTACCCACCCCCCACACTCTCTCTCTCTCTCTCTCACACACACACACACATATATATATATATATATATATTAATGCTTAAAAATCTATCCATTATATTATCATAATTTTTAAAACGAAATTATTCCCTTTCAATAAACTTATTTTGTTAGTAGTTAACTCTATTATAATAAATAATTAATAAATAAACATATTTTATATTTCAGAAGAAACTTGATTTAGTCACTATAAATATTTTTATCAAATTTTTATAATATAATAAATATAAATTTAACTCTATATTTACGTAATAATCTATATCGTTAAGATAGATTTTAAGAAAATATTAAAAAATATAAACCGAAATTAATTTTATAAAATTATTTTTTAAGATGAAATTGTATTTAATTTATGTATTATAATTTGACTGTAAACTACTTCTTTAAATTTTGAATAACCAAATTTTTTTGACTAATTATTTTGAAAAAGGCTAAACAGACTCTGAAGCAATCGCGTTTTTCCACATTTACCCTCGCAACAACCACAAATTACAATTATCGCATTCATTCACCCTCGTCGCTTCAACACGATCTAATTTCGAAGCCGCCGTCGATGATCGATCACCGATAGCTTCGTCATCTTTCGCCTTACGCAGTGTCGGTGTCGTCGTTGCGTTTCTAGGAAGAAAACGACGACGACGGTGAAACGTTGCGTTCCGTGAAACTATAAGAGAAAACGATGAGGTCCTCTTCTTCTACGGACAGGTTCAGCATCGCTGCCAGTGCTCAGAAACTTGATGTCGATAACCGAATCGCGCTTCGGTTCTACTACCGCATCGCCGATAACATCCTCCGACAGGTCCTTCTCTTCGTCTTTCTGCTATTTCATTGTTGCGTCCATGAATTCGAACGAAGAACCCTAGTTGTAGATTGATGGCGTGTAATTTAGAATTTGTTTTTGTCTTCTTATAAATATTTAACAATTTTTTTTTCATGAATATTGATTCAATTCATAGATTTTATTATTTGTTGATCGGAAAGAGAGGAGAGTAGGTTTACTGAGAAGTTCAGTTTATATTGCTGAATGCAATGCAATATTTTCTGGGATGTAGGTGGTGGTTGATTTTGATAAAAAAGGGAGGAAAATATATTTTTTGGTTCGGAACTTTGTGAAATGTCATTGTTCTATTTTTGAAGTTCCTAGGAAAGAGATTCAATGCATAATAATAATAGGAGATAAAAGGGGTATTTTTACTCTTACCCTTACTCATGAGAGTATCATTAACACAGAAACCGTAGAACATGGGTTTATTCTCTTGATTCGTATTGACGATAATTTGATTCCACTAATTGCACATAGAGCTATCAAATTGGCTATATTCTTGAGTGTAACACTTTGTGCCGACCATAATTGAACGTATCTAGGAATTGCACAAAAAGCATTAGATTTTAGAAAATATTTCAATTCTTATAAGATGGTTCATTGGTTAATCATCAAATGTATTGTTTGATTTGAATGTGTAATGCTGGCATATTAGGTTTGTTCATCAAATTTAGTTAGAATTAGAATTTACCACGGGATAGTAAATGATATAATGTTAGAGTGATATAAAAAGTGATGTGCATGACCCTGTCAGGTTTCATCTTTGCCTTTTCCTGCACTATTGGGGCTCGTGATTAATTTATTCTTTCTCTCCGCACATTTTGTGTTTTTACCGATAGTTACTTGCGCTAATAAAATTTTTTTCCATCCTGGAATTTATGGTCCTGCTTTATTTTTTATTTATTCGTATGGTCATGATGTATTCTTGATTGTTTAGTTGCTCTGCATAACCATCAAGGTCAAAATATTGGTTTTGTCATTGCAGGCTGACATCTTTCGTGCAGAGAAGAATATTATTGACCTATATGTCATGCTTTTAAGATTTTCCAGGTAACACATTTGAATCAATATTTGGCTCATAGTATATTTGTCGCTAGTTGAATGGTTGAAAACATCTGGACTTTATTGTATTTTTTACTTTGTCATTAAATTGCATTTAGGGGTCTTCCTTCTGTTTTGTTTGGTTTTAGTTTGGTGTCTGAGACAATACCACGTCACCGAGATTATAGATCATCTCCACAAAGGCAGAAAGAATCATTGAAAAAGGTTAATTATTGACAGTCTTCTCCAAATGAAATTTGTTGCTTTTAAATCCTGGGTTTAATCTGATTTTCAATTTCTTCCTGTAGAAATTGTTAATTTCTTTGAATGAACTGGAGAAATTGAAACCAGTGGTCCAACAGAAGATCAATGAGCTTAACAACAGGCTTGCATACCAACAAAATGGACGTGGAAAATTTAATTCAAATAATTCACTGGGTTTTTCTCCCATGAATAAGCAAATTTCGGCTAGTTATGGCCAAATAAAGGTAAAATTTGTTGCAAGAGAATTCACTAGTGAAGGTTGTCATTCATAAGTAAATGATCTTTCCCTAAAATAAAATCTTTTTTGTTTTTCTTCCAATTCTGAAAAGAAGTTTAGCATCCATATATTGTATATTTGACCAGGGCGTCAGACCTACTATTACTGGGCAGCTTGGTTACCAAGGATCTAGGACCCAACAGTTCTCTTATGTCAGGCCTGTGGAAGAGCATGTACGAAGACTGTAAGTATTGGACTCAAAATTCATGTATAATTGACTTCGTAGTTGTGGTAGTGATACTGTGATAGGTATTGCCTACATTATTGCAGTTTCTTTTTTCACAGGAGTAAAGTGAAACTTTCCTTCATCTTTTGGTTGCTTTCTACTATCATGAGGAAACTTGTTTGAAAGTCAAATGCTAGATGGTCTTGTTTGTGCAATATCAGTAGTTTGACTGTCTATTTATCTAAATTTTTGTTATGACAGTAGTTCAGGCTTACTTGTTTCTTTTCCATTACTGTGTTACACTTTAATATAAATTTTGACCTAGTTAAGTGAGCAAGGATTAAACAGTTCAATATTTCCTTTTCCTGGCTTATACCAGCTGCTAGTTGAAATGCAATTTATCTTTGTAGCAAACGGAACAGAGTATTTGTGTTGTATTGCAGTACATTATGAAATTTTAAGATGTTGCTGGATATGATTTCCTATTTCTGAGTTTCATTGGAAAACCTTGAAAAAAGTTCTTTTGGTCAAACTTTAAAAAGAGAAAATTTAATATATGTAAATAAAAAATTATGTACCAAAATGATTATGAAAATGTTAAATAATCATGAAATGGAAACACATTTATATCTTCAAGAACTAGCAACCCAATATACCAAGGTTTCATGGTAGTTTTGGTTTAAAAAATTGCTTAATTATGTTTGATCTAGAAGCACTGCTTAAAATAGAAGTTTCAGTCTATGTTGGCCTTTTAAATTTCTTCGCAGATTGCTTGTCCTGCATTTTAATTTGGAAAATAAGAGGTCCCCTACATTTTTTCTAACCTTTTGTAGATCTCTAACTCTTCCACCTCCAAAGGAGGAAACTCTCTCTAGACATTCTATCCTTGGTCCCAACGGGTTAAAAGGGCAGTGGAGACCACCTACCACTGATAAAGAGGTATGCTGGTTTGTATCTATATGTTTTAATTCTATTCTATTCGAAGTTTGTCCTGACTTTTCTCTCTGGATGTGATGTAGATCAGATATCCAAGCAACATAGATCTGTCGCCTGTTGAATTACCAAGGTTAGTTCTTATTTTTAGTTTCTATATTGCTTTTCTCTATTATTGGTTTTCTAAGTTATTCTAAGGAAAAAGTACCTTGTACGTCAATGGTCTTTTTTTAAAATGATGGAACTATATTATAAGTCATCTTTGAAAGGATTCAATGGTTCACCAGATTTCAATATTTTAAAAGTAAGATTGTTGTCCATGAAGCTTCTGGAGCTGGGTTATCTATTTAATTTTATATTAATTGTGTGATTATGTCCTTCCTACTTTTGGAACCAACAGCGTACTTTCCTTGGAACATGAATCTGTGGGTAAGATAGATAATAGCATCTCAGAACACTATAAGTCAGATTTAGATTCAATTTTTGCCCAAAGTGTGGAATCTCAGCCCCAGCCTCAGCCCCAGCCTCAGCATGATCAGGAACCTCCTTCTCTTATTTCATTTGAAATAACAGAAACCTCTCCTCAAATAGAAGTTATCAGGCAGCCTTCTCCTCCGCCTGTACTTGCTGAAGTACAAGATTTGGTTCCTGCAGTGTCACCTTGTGTTCATGAGGCAGAATATAAGACTGAGATTTTGCCAACAGATAGTTGTGTTCATGCCGAGGCTCCTCTACAACTGCACATTGTGAGTCAATAGCATTTTCTTATCTATTTTGTGTATTAATTTTAGGTTGATGTTTCTCGGAGAGGCATGGTTAGGTTCGTGTTGATTATTTAGTTTCCTCAAGTATGCTTACAATTTCTAAAATAACGTCATGTTCTCTTTCTAATAATTGCTTATATTTCAGTCAACTGCTTTGATGGATAGTTTTATGAAGCTTGCCAAGTCAAATACAAAAAAAAATTTAGAGACTTGTGGCGTCCTTGCTGGTTTGCTTGTAAGTGTTGCTCATATTTTTCGTTTGTCTTAAAGTAAAGGTACATGCAAAGATTGGTCCAAAAGGGTCTTTGGATCCCAAAATTAGTTTTGGATTATTAACTGACTAAAAATACGTATTTTACTCATTTTTCTAATCCCTAGAACCGTTTGTGTGTGTGTGTGTGTATATATATATATATATATAAAGGATCCGGTTACTCCAAGAGTAAGTATTAGGGACTTTTAATCTAATGGTTCAACATAGTTACTCATCTTAACCATTAGATTAAAAAAAAAAAAAAATGAATTGTGAGGAAGAAAAATAAGTCTCCTACACTTACTCTTGAAGTAAGTAGATCCATCCTCATATAATATTTATTTATGTTCTTATGCAAATACAATAACATTTTTCTTTTTACCTTTTTTTTTAATTATGGATCAACCTCAAATATGTATTGTATGTAGTAGTTGTAAAATTTTCCAAAGTATAGTTGGGCTCTAATGGTTTAGTCTCTCTTGCCTTCAATATTTTATGTTCAACTGTAAGATATTGATTGGAATTTTGTAAAACACACCTGATCTGCAGAAAAACAGAAAATTTTATATTACTGCCCTTATAATCCCAAAGCAAGAGTCAACATCAGATTCTGTAAGATTTCTTTCACTACAAATCTTTTGGGGAATATTTAGTACTATTATTATTCTGTAAATGTTTCATTTATTATTGTTCTTCCTGAGCAGTGTCAGACTACAAATGAAGAGGAAATATTTGAAGTGCAGGATAAACGATCCCTTTTTCCCCTTGGGTGGATTCATGTGAGTTTCTAATTGTGTTTGGTGGAAACTTTTTCAAGTTGTGGTAAATTGTTTTTCTATTTCTTAACTTCGAAAAAAGTAGATGATAAATGATGTTAATATAGGATTAAATTTGTCATTTTTGTAAGTGCAGTTGCATCTGCTGTATCGAAAAACATACAATGCATATCCAAATTTCTTATATTTTTACTTTGTTATTCTTCCTTGTTATAACACTGAACAATATTATTCTGAGTTGCCAGACACATCCGACACAATCTTGTTTCATGTCGTCCATTGATCTGCACACCCACTACTCCTATCAGGTGAGTTCATACTTTTAATTAATTTCCATGGACATTCTTTGCTGTGTTTTATGACGAAATGGTTGAAATGAAAACTTATCTCTAAATTCTTTTACTATTTTTATTAAATTGTACTATTGTAACTGCCATCCTAGAGTCAGTTTTTTAACTTTATATACTGATCATATTTATAATTTATGTACAGAAGTTAAAATATACTTGAAAAATGTCACTTTTAATCAATCTCATACATATTAGTAATGTTTCTTTTATTGTTTCTGTCAAAGATGGGGCTATCCTGTCACCCACGCATCCTGCATTTCTTTACACTTTTATTCACTTCCGAATATTATTGTTACCTTAGATTATGCTACCAGAATCTGTTGCGATAGTCATGGCGCCAAAAGATAGTACGAGGTAAGATCACATCTCTAACGTGTTTTGGTGTATTCGATGATAGTAAACATCTCAATAACAGAATTAATGCTTTGATCCAATTCCAAAAATGATCACAAGTTTGATATATAGAAACGTGACCTTATAAATTAGGAAATCCAAAGACATGATCAAAACCTGGAAAGGAAACAAAAGCATTTTTTGGAATAATGTAACACATCTAGAAATGATAAGCAGAACATCAATTCTATGATAGTTCCTAAAAATAATTAATAATCCGTGTTTCAAAAGAGTAAAATATTTTCCGAGAAAAATACATAAAAATTTTGGTTGCTTCCCTCTTATTTGGCATATTCATACATCAGCATATTTTGGCCACCCGTTTGTCCCATAAACTGGGAGATATATTATAATATTTACATAAGGTATTGAATTTCGAGCATTTTTTCATAATTATTTGAAATTTTTGGTCTCTGAATATTATTGTGTTACCTGTCATTGAGATATCTTTCCTACATATTTTGTAATTACTTTTGTCAATTTGAATGCACAGAAACCATGGCATTTTTCGGTTGACCAGCCCTGGTGGAATGTCTGTGATCAAACAATGTGATCAGCGTGGCTTTCATCCACACAGTCAGCCTCCAGATGGTGGTCCTATTTACAAGACATGTACAGATGTATACATGAACCCAGATTTAAAATTTGATGTCATTGATCTTCGATGATAAGAGTTATTTATGCCATCATTGTTTAAAGACAAGCTTTCTCCACATATATAAATAGGTTTTACTTTTACCGTTAATTTAGCCGTGGCCATAAAGAATGCCCCGGCTGTGTTTGTAAAAAGGAATCGTGCTCGTTGGCTGTTTAATTTCTTGTGAAGATCCAATCATTGGTTACTGCTTTCTATGTTAAAATGCATATACTGATTTGTATCAGTTAAGCGGTTGGTTATCAAAACAACTGTTATTTTTCTCATATTGAATTCTTCACGAGTTCATTCGCTTAAGAAATTGCCTGTCATAAAAATCATGATAAAGTAACGTAAGAATGATGCATCTTCTACCTCTAATTGTTAGGCTTCAGCTTGATGCAGTCTAAAACATGTGATTTTGCTAAAGGAAAATATGCCCAATTTATCTGTTGATTTTTTCCAGTTTAATGATTACCTTTTATTCGCTCCCTCCCCCCTGACTTTTCAACCTCACCCAGTATTTTTCCCTCAGTTGTAATTAAGCACCATAGAGAAAGATGTTAAAAGGAAAAACATCAGTTCCAGATAAGGGTTTATATTGGCGTGAAATTGTTTGGTGCAAGAAAAGATGTAACGGATGTAACCAAAGTATAATATGCACTTTCGAGTGAGACGGAGACCCATTCTCATCATTGTTAATAAAACCATGTAGAAACTTGGCTGTTATAGCTTTACTGGACCCAAAGTCACAGACAGAAGATAATGTATCATGGATATTGCAAATATATCATTGGGTAGAATAATAATTCATTTATCTAGTAGGTGGTGGTGGTGCACATTAAGATGCCTAGTCATGTGTGAAGAAAATGGCTTCTCATTGGGAGAGAAACAAGTATTGTCTTAATCTCTAACTGGAGATGCTTGTTGTGTTTTTTCCTATGTACAAATATTTTTAGTCCTGTTAACAGAAGGTACCAAAAACAAGTTATTTACACCATGCACAGAAGGAATTATCACTCATAAATATTTATGTTGTTTATTGACATTAGTGTTTTGTAAAAATGGTATTTTATTGTTAAAAAGTAATTCATTGCATGAGAAATAAATGTCAATTTGAAGAAGCCACTCCGCCATTAATGGTAGAGTTTCGTAACAAAGTTGTTTCTTCAATGACGAATCGCAACAAACATCTCCAGTTAGAAATTCAATGAATACTTGTTTCTCTCCCAATGAGAAGGCATCTTAACGTGCACCACCACCACTACCAACTGTTTGTGACTTTGGGTCCAATAAAGCAACAACAGCCAAGTCTAAATATGGTTTTATCAACTACGATTAGAATAGGTCTCAGTCTCACTCTAAAGTGCATGGCATTTGTAGTGCATATTGTACTCTTGGTTACATCCATTACATCTTTTTCTTTTCTTGCACCAAACAACTGTTTCGGGTGATGCCAATTCTGGATCCAGACATGCCTTGGGGGTCCTTCAAACAGTGGTTGGGGTAGGGTCCCATGTTGTGGCTAGTATTGAGCATTCCAAATAAGGGGTTAAGGACAGTTTTGTCATCAAGGTTATGAGCTTATTCATTTTTTCCACTTTGGGAGATTGCTCACATGGCAAGTTGACAAATATGAGTTATTTGTCTTCCTCAAAAGAAGAAAATAGTAGTTATGTGGAGACTTGGGGTCCATCCTCAACTCACCCCCACATCCCATGCCATATACACTATCTGCCCATCAAGGCCTCATACCTATATTTTTCTCCAAAATCATTAAATCACACAAACTATAACCACATTTCAATCTAACGATGAATTAAAGTTTATGTAATACTTAAGATAGATTAAAAAAACAACTATTCCTTCATTTATAAATACCATTTTATCTGCATAATCAGAAATTGGACTCTATCCAAACTAATAACCACTTACGTGACATTTTGGGAACTTATACCTAATACTTTACCCTCATTTTGCCATAGCCATTGGTAGAAGGAACTCATCACATAACTGTAAAATGCCGGCCTTTTAATCTTTAGGCTAAAAAATGTCTCTGTCATTCATTTATCAAAACAATTCACCATGTAACAACAGTGGATACATACCATGTCACCTAAACTTACTCTTTCATATTCATTATTTATTGAGGAGTCAATTGTCAAAGTACATTTCAATGTGACATTTTCAGAACATAGGAAGATTGTAGATGCATTTTCATTTTCATTTTTCCCCAACACCTTCTAACTTAATTTTTATAGTTAGGTGGTATTAATTAACACTTGGGATCGTAATAAGGTACTATGGACTTCATCTTTGTCAACTTCATCATCATGTGAAATTTGTGAAGACATTAACAATGGTACCTAATGAAGAGAAGAGTGGTGAAGTGTAACATTTTTCCACCCCTAACCCTCCTCACCTATTTCTTCAATATTACACATTTTGTTGGCAGATGGCAAGTTCTTTCATTGCATCTGTTACACAGTTTTAGAAGACCCAGATTTCAAAGATTTTGAACTAAGGGAAGTTTCTTTATTAAATAATTTCCTTGGAACTCTAACTTGATAGTGTTTCACTAAATCAAGCAGATTCTTCTTTACTTTCGAAGTGCACTATGATAATTGTTGCCTTAAAATTGATGATGAGATGCAATAGGTAAAAAGATAAATACACCCAAAATAATTTAATATTATAATTTTCACCACTTTGTATATTTCTCGTTTGTTGTATAATTTTCAATATTTTTCGTTCATTCTTTTTGAAATGAAGTATTTGAATATATATATATATATATATATATATATATATATGTATGTATAAAAAAAATTGAGAGAAAGATAACGATAGATGTGATGTGAAATAAAGAGACAGATAAAAGAATGACACGAATATAATTTTAAAAAAATAAGTGACTTGAAAGAAAGAAAATGACAAATATGAGAAATGATAAGATGTGAAATAAAGAAAGAAATAGTTATTAAAGTTTTAAATTCTTGATATATATTTTATTTTAAATACTCAGTAAGTTTTTTTAAATGCAGTACCTAATTATATTTTTATTATTTTATTTTCTTTATCATAACAACCAATAAATTTTTTATTATATGATGATGCATTTTGATAAGAGAACTAACATAAGAAACTGAATGCATTGAACCCCAACATTTTAAATTTATTTAAGTCAAAACTAAGTAGTTATTTAAGAAAAGAAATACTTAATGCATGGAAATACTTGATTTAGAGGTTTCTAATTGATTCATCAAGTATAAGAAGAGTAGAATTGTATGAAAACTACTAATCACCCTACTGTATCTGTACATCTTCCAATATCATTTGATCGTTTGAATCAATTTTTATTTTATTGTGGAACATGGTCATGAACAAAAGTGTACTATTTTTATGAGCATGTCCTTAAGAAATCATTCTTAAAGATAAGAAACAAAATATGATGAAAGATGAATGTAACTTTGATTGGAATGTGTATGTGGCAGTAACTTTCTTTCTAATTGGTTGTTTAAATTAGAGATCAGAGAAGAGACAATGTCCCTCTCTATCTTATATATAATATGATAAGAGGGGAAAAGAATAAAAGGTTTAATCAGTGGTTAGGATGAGAACCACAAAGTCTATGTCTTACAGAACAAGTCTTGTAGGTTGGCTGTTTTATAGACAAAGACTCCAAACATTATTCCTTCAAATCAGCAGAATTACATTGTGATTGGAGTCACTTTCCTATAATCAAGCATCACCTTTACTGATTTTATAGAGTGAAACATTTGTTACGATTCCAACTTGTCACAGATTTGTCTTGCTCCTTTGTTTCTACTCTCCAACAGGAACAGACAAAATCTCCTCTCATCTTCCAGTTTACACACAATCTTTCTACTCCTTGAAACTTGAATATATGTTGATGATACGCCTTTTCTTTTTGTATCCCTCTATATCTGAAAATCTATGAAAAGGGTTCTTTCTGTTCCTTTGTCTTCTCAACTTTTGAATCAAAAGCAGCCTCATATTTCCAATCTTTAAAGCCATATTGTTTCTCTGTTCACCTTTATTAACTCTAGCTCTCAATTTGGTTTCTTTTGTGGGTTTTTAAGGAATCTGTTGTGATGTGCTCAGAAACAAGTCCACCCCGTCTCTCTTTCTCCCATGATCTCTCTGAACTACAAGTTTTACCAATGAAACAAGACGTTTCTTGCAGAGACACACTGTTGCATGACTCAAATTCTGACTTTGAGTTCAGCACTAGCACCACCAGCCTTGAGTTTGAATCATCTTCAGCAGATGAACTTTTCTCTAATGGGGTTATTCTTCCAATTCAGATTCAAGACAAAAGCACGGCTAGAAAACTCACTCATCATGTGGAATATCCTCACACAAAGCTTCCTCCTCGTCCATGTGCATCAACTGTTGACAAACTGAAGAAAGAAACCATTAGAGAACTCCTAGATGTGACTCCTGATCATGATAAGAAGCCTCATTCCAAGTCTTTTTGGGGATTCAATAGAAGTAAGAGTCTCAATCGTGATACAAAGAAGAGCTTGGTATGCTCTATACCTCTTCTGTCAAGAAGCAACTCAACAGGTGCAGTGCCAAATCCAAAGAGAGTGAGTTCAAACAAGCATCCATCAGCAGCTAAATCATCATCATATTCATATTCTACCTTAAATATGTATCCTTTGCAAAAATCTCCTTCAGGTAAGAGTTATGGAGGGTATTATCCCAATGGCCTTAGGATTAATCCTGTCTTGAATGTACCAACTCCTTGTGTTTCAAAGGGAAGTGCAAATCTCTTCAGTTTGGGTTCATTTTTACGCGTTGGAAAGGTTAAGAAGAGCAAGAAGTGATTTGTTCATGTGCTATCATCATCATCATCATCATGTCATGAATTCATCTTGGTTTATTTGATTATCATAATCATTGTTTGCTATGATCAGACAAAGAAAGTGTGAATTAATAAAAGGCTAATTAATAAATCGCAAGGTACTCAAAGAAGTTGATTAAGCTAAATGAAGATAATGATTAATTATTAGTATTAGAAATTGAAAGAATATTGTAACAGATCATGGATCTTCAGAATCCCATGGCCATGCAGATAGAAGGGTCTATAACTTGGGAGACAGAACAATGGGAATCCATCTCTAGTGTTTTGTCCCATTTTGTTTTCTTCTGTGATTCCTAAATATGGAACCTTGTGCCTTTTGGTGTTCATTCAGATAACCACTGGTTTTTATTTATGAGTAATATTTCCCCATCTATTTAACTAACATTTTGTCTCTAATTGCAAATGTATGACAACTAAGGTGGGAGTTTCGTGGGGAAAGAGACAAATCATTGATGAAACCTTGTGGAAAATTTGGTTTCTGATTGGCTTTTTCCCTTACTTAACTCACCTAACCTAATCATGGACCATCCTAATCCTTCTGTTTATCAACAGGACCAATATTTAGTCTTGGAGTTTATGTATTTCACATTTTATGTGTTGGGCAATGAGAATTAATGTCCTTAAGTGCCTTGAGTCCACTTGCAGAGGTTTTCATTAGTTTCTCTAGTAGTTGAACTTCTAATGAATTTTGTTTCAAATCAGAAATTTTCAAGTAAATTAACCATTGATCAAGTTTCACTAGTGCACTCTCATAATTCCTGGTGGTTTACACTCTGCTTTAGAAATCGTACATATTCACTTTTACAAGCCAAGAAACTTCCATTCATTTACTTTTTTTTTTCCATAATGTGCGGGGTTTGGATTCCCAAAATAATTACCAACATTGATCAAATTGGACCTTTATAATGAATGTTTTTTGGTGGGTACATTTGTTAAGGAAATCGAAGTCAACGGATTGTGGCATTCATGATTATATTAGGTGGTACTGAACAAAGTAAATTATTAGGATAGTGAATAAAAAATGTAAGTTGAAAATTTATGGTTTTAATTTGAATAAGATAATTTATAGAATTTTTCGTTATATTTTAAAATAATGATATGATCTTACAACATCATCTTTAAGCTCGAAAATCAATGAGGATTGTTCACAGATAAAACAACATTTGGGTCTACAAATTTAGATATCTTGAACTTTAATTTGACTCCAACTAATCTGAATTGAATCAGGAAAGAGTCAAAGTTAGATAGAAAAACATTGATGACAAGAAGACTCTAGGATTCCTTCTAATTTGAAATTGATTATCTCTCTATTCCTCATAAACTTTATGGCTACAACTGCACATACTCTATCGAACTTTTTTTTCTTTCTAGAAAAGGTAAAATGTTATTTTAGTTATTCAATAATTGAATTGGGTGTTTTTATAAAGCAAAAAACAATTGGTTCTTTTATTGAGTTAATTTATTTGATTGTATAATTTTTCCAACTAGTAATTAGTGATTGTGTGATAAAATGTCATTAAAAAAAGCTACATTATTCATTAATTAATTACACTGGCAACTTCAAAATTATATGAAAGGTTATTTAATTACTTGATCACAAGATTTACTGAAAAGTAGTATAAATTCGCTGCGCCACAAAATTTAATTAATTTATTATTTTATTTTGTGGCGTGGAATTAGATATAACAGTTGATCCAAACTCCACGAGTATCTATAAAAGCTACCTGTAATATGTGATTATTAAACTTATTTGGTCTAATAGTATAACATTTTAAGTTATTATCCACAATTTTAATGGTTATATATAATTAAGGTATTTTTTTTCTTAATAATTTTTTACTGCACTCATAAATATATAAAATAAACGAAATACTCTTTTACTTATTTTTGTTTGAAATCCTACCAGCTTCCTCTTTTCCACTCTTCTTTATCTTCATAGTCTTTACAATTTTGTTTTGACGTGGTTTCACTTCTATAAAGATAATTTTTAACTTACAAGGTGTAAAATTGTTAATATTATGTATTTATTACATGAAATTAGACTAAAATATAGGGATTCTGGAATGTATTTTCTGATTGTTTTGAAAATATATTTCAGATTGATTTCTAGATTGATTGTTGTAAAATGTATTTTCAAATTGACTGGTCTAGAAATATTTTAAATTGAGTGTTCCAAAATATATTTTTAGATTGATTATTCTAAAATATATTTTCAAATTAATGGTTTCAAAAATACATTTCGAATTAGATGTTTTCAGAATATTTTTTTAGATTGACTGTTCCAGAAATGTATTCCAAAATACTAAATTCGGAATAGATTTCAATGTATTCCAAAATACTAAATCCAGAATACATTTCCAGAATAATTAGTCTAGAAATATATTCTAGAACACCAAATTCGTAATATATTTTAAGAACAACTAATCCAAAAATGAATACAAGAAAATAGAGGTAATAATAAAATAAATTTTATTTTAATTATGGGTTGCAGGAAGAAACAAGGGGAGGTGAAATAATGAAAAAAAGTGCCTGTAATTAATCAATTATAATAGTCCAATTGAGGTTTATAAAGTCCGAACCGAAGTTTTACCAATTGGATTCAAAGCAAAACATTTTCCGATCATATTTTTTTAATTTTATTCCAATTGACATGTGAATTATCCTGCATCGTAAAGGAAGCATTCCCTATTTGCAACACAAAAGTAAAACCAAAAAAATGTTCACTAATCATTACTGTTAATTGAATATAAGACTTGTCAGAATTCAGATATGCTGCCTCATTTGGACTGCCACAAACTCAATAATTTCTGAACCACCCAATTTGGCAAGTTCAATAAAAACTAGGCCCATCCAATGCTTGGTTTTATTAAACATGAGATCTATGGAAAGAAAGAATCAGTAATGCTGCTGAAGAACTCTGATTATTAGCAAGTATTTGAATTGGTAGATAGTGAGAGTGAAAAAGGTTGTTTACGTATTTGTGTATAGATTATTGAATAGCAGAGTTCAGGTATCCACAAAGTCATTGTTATTTCACCTGGAATGAACTCACACCAGGGAAGGCCTTTCTCAATTTGAACAAGTTGATGAATGGAACAAAACCACAGCTAGTCTTCCTTTGAACAAATTTCCAACTATTTTCTCCAGCAAAACAGCTTGTGCAAATTTTACCTGTCCCCTCCTTGGGGAAACTAGTCTAGCCTCTCATGGAAAGACACCCTCTTAAACCACTTTAACAATGACATAGCTTTGCAAATTGTCATATATTAAAACTATTTTCCATTCACTGCATTTATTTGTTCTGGAAATGCATTTGGCTTCAAACAAACTTGTATGCTAGGTTAGGTTAACTGGAAAGAATAAGAAATTTAGAAACAGGAGTGAATTAGTTTTGTAACATTATTATTTATAAATCATTACAGTTCACCATAGATCTTTCAATAAATTCATGCCATTGCATTAATATGCATAGTTTTTTAGCAGCAAGTTACTGTTAAAACTAGTACCACATTCAACTTCACATGGTACTATATTAAAAGTAGATTACATGAATTCTAATATTGGACATCTAAGCTTCATCAAGCAGATTCACGTAGTGCCTACAGAAAGAATAGGCTCAATAAATTTTCCCACCAACACCATTTGAAATTCTGCTAAAGAGAATATCAAATTTGCTCTGTGATGGATGAACAAAAACATGACGTCTCCAATTATGCAAAATTGGAAGATTTACTACAATACACCAAAAAGACTGTTTACTTTCTTAATGAGTAATTCGGGGTAATATAAACAATTGAGAAGTTAAAAACTGTTTAGCCAGGATAACATACTTCTAAGAATTTAATGTTGAACAGAATATCTTCACAGAAGTGCAAAGAGAGTTGATTTATACAATCTGCAAGTTACAACATTCAGACAAGTACAACTGATTTCAAAATTCCAAAATTTCTTGATTATTGAGTTACACCTTTCATTTACATAGATAATTTGGAATTTACCATTATTTATGTCACAACACATGGGAAGTCAACAAGAAAAAATATTTGGGACATCCATTCAGAGTCAGAACCAGGATTAGCCATTCATTTCAGCCCCTGCACAGCATAACCATTAACCACTCATGAATTCTAGTTGAAGACCAAATTAAAATTCACGTCTGCAGTTACCCAGATAGAGAAAAGAAAAACTATTTTACCTCAGTCAAGAACATCAGCTACTTTGTATGATTCTGCACTGACCTCAGCCAACCATAAGCCAGGAAAAAGTGTCTGCAATAAATTATAAGTAACACAAAATTAAAAAACTGAATCAAAAATAAAAATATAATTAAAATACACTATCATCTAATCACAAATCATTATGGTAAGTTCGCTGACTATTATGACCGGTGTCTTCCTTAAACTCAGGTTTTCTATTATCATTTTGTCACAGAATGACATGAACCATAAGTGTTTCAGACCAGCCCTCAACCTGTGGGCTTCCGCCACCCTCCACCTTACAGGTCAGAGATTCATTACATCAAAACATGCTAAGTCATGGATCCAGGAGTGATATCAAAGCAAGACCATCCTCCTTGGCTAACTTTTCTTACAAACATGTGTCCTGCCAAGGATCCCATTCTGACTTGAACATAGTCATACATTCTGTGTGCATCCTAACTATCTTGCGGTGTGGGCCCGTAATTTGAAGTAACTGCCAGCTATTTTTTAACCGGTTTTTCTGCTCATCCAGCATGTATATAAGGCCTACCAACCTTCCCGTTTGCATCTAATCTTCATTCTCACTCTCTTCTTGCAGTTTCTGATCTGCATTCAGCACTGTAATTAAGGCTTTCCACACCAAATCCCTCTGCCAACTTCTTTTACTGACTTTTATAACAATTAGCTAAATACCTTAAAAGTCAGGTTTTTATACTATTATCCATCTAAACAGATCACCAAGTATGGTAAATTTGTTATCTTCAAAATTACCTTAAAGGTCATGAATGAATTCTAATTGGCTTAACAACAGCATAGAACTTCTTAAACTGAAAATGCATGCCATGACAATTAAGCTTAAAAAAACCAGTAACCATGAGAACCTTAAAACAAGACATCATTTCATACATAGATCACACAATCCATCCTCCAAAGTGTTGTTGGTTACTTGAATCAACTCACATTCAATTGTCTCTGCACAATCCTGGGCCTCTTCTTGGGCCTTCTGGGGGGCCTAGTTCCAACCAAGGCCCAGAAATCCTGCTCCACCTCCTCCTTAGAGAGAGAAACAGAAAACTTAACTCTCTCATTCCCCGTCACCACCATCTTCTTCTTCTCCTTCACCGGCGGCGAAGAACACCCCATGTCGAACAACCTTCGCTCCTCTTCGTTCTGCGGTGCCTTACACGCAGCTCTTCTCGTCCTCAAATTCCAAGGCATCATGGCATTGTTGGGCACGCCACTAGCATCTTCTCTGACACCCACCACAAAAACGGCGTCGCCGTCGTTCATTTTGCGCTTGTTGGGGACTCGAACGGCGTCGTTCTGGGGGGCATCGAATCTCGACGATCGGCGATCGAGGTCGGCGTTGACGCAGCGAAGTAACCGTTGGGTGCCCCATTTCAAACAAGGCAACGAGAAGTTGTGCAGTGGCTTCGATCTTTCGGGTCCCGTGGCCATCGGTGAAACGATGATCACACTACAGAAAAAGCTGAACTTTTCGTTTCCTCGTTGAGTTTTTCTTCTTGGTGTGTACCTGTGTGTCTGTGAAGTTTTATGGGTTATTCTTTTGTTCTGTGTGTGTGGTGTGTTTAGAGTTCTTTTCTGTGGGGTTGAGGAAGGAATGAATTTGAATTGAATTTGTAGAGAGAATGAAGGTTTGAATGATTTGAGAATTGAGAATGGAGAATGGGTTGGTTTGTTTGTTGTGTTATGTATGCATTATTATGATTATGAATATGAAAGGAAGGAAGAATGACAAAGACAGACACAACTCAGACAAGAGAGAGAGAGTCCGGATTAAGATTAACATCGGCCTAAATATTTTATTTCCTGTTTCTATTTAATGAAACTTGCCATTTATTTCATCTCCAATATTTTTCATGGTCTTGGTTGGAATTGAACGTGTAAATAATGTGGATTAATAAATAGATGGATATTATTATAATTTATGGGAGGTATATTAATGATATTCAATTTTTCGTTTTATAAATATTTTAACAGTTTAATAAACACAAACTATGTGTGTAAAGTTTTTTTATACTTAACTAATGAGAAGCTACCTTTTTTATGCCTTTTAAGATAATTGAATTTATTATATATTATAATTTGTAAATGAATAAAAAAAGTAAAAGGGATTATTGTATTCATTCATATAGTGTAATCTTATTAGTGTAATTTCTATCTCAAAAATATTCGTTATCATTTTTTATTTCTATAGTACTTCTTTAGGAGTGTGTGAAAAAGGTAAAATTTTAGGTATCTTTAGCAAAAAGTAATTGAAAAGTTAGTTAAAAGTTATTAAATTAACATGTTTTGGGAACATTTTAATTTTAATTATTGGACTTGTGAATTCTTTCATTTAATGATTAATGATTTTAATTATATTTTGTAGTTTCAATAGTTATATATATATTTTTTCATATCATGCATTATACAATTAATGATATATATCTTAAAAAACTTTCATTTAAGTTTAAAATAAAATAAAAATAACATAAGACGCGATTTTCTTGATTACTATGATAATAAATTTCTATTTTATGTAAAAAAAGAAGATAAAATAAGGTAAATTTAATAAATATTTTAAAGGTCAAATAAAATAAGATATGAAATGTTAGAAATCAAAATATTAATGGTCATAAAATACTACAAGCTATTAAAATTATTCTTTCACTGAATAGTACTGATATGAATAAGCAACAAGCTTTCCAAACAAAGGAAAAGTAGAAAATAATTGAAAATGCTAGCCTAAGCTACTCTCTCCTTTTTCAAATGAATTAGTGTTGTCTTAGAAATTGGCTGTCTATGTAATTGTTATTAAATAAAATGCTTGTTTTCTTGATATAAGAATGAGACTTTTATTTTACATGGTGATTTAGACAGAAAATGAATTAAAAAGAAAAAATATTTTTCATTTTTAAGCATGGTGATGTAGAGTGGGCGATAAGGTTTCGTCATCTTTATCTTTCATTTGGTCAAATGGGCTAGTTAAGATATACATTTCACGACCCGAAGCAATCGGCCTCGAAATGCAACCTTGGTTCCAATGAGCAGTTACCATACCACTCTTCAAAACTTATCAAGCTTGAAATAAAAAAGGACGGATGAGTTTGACCAAACTGGAGATAATGTAGTTTTATAGAGCAAACTAAATGAAAACATTTTCATCTGATAACTATTTTTTATCTGAACTCAACAGTTTACATACGCTCTATGATTAGTATGATTACACTACATATGTTCGGTCTGTTTAGTATATAGTTTATTCACACTAAAGTTGTATATGTTTTCATTAAGCGCTTTTGAAAAGGATATGTACACTGCTACGTTAAAATAATGCCCGAGTGTGAGAATTTTAATATAACATCTAACACGTGATGACTATACTGAGATTTCAATTCGTCCTTTGGTTCGTCTATCACTATCTAAATTGATAGTCACCACAGCTGGGCTCAAAATGATATGCTGTTGTTTATTAAGCTCCATAAAATCATTTCGTATATATTGTCACATTAAAAAAAGAAAACAAAATATCTAACAAATTATGACATGACTCAACTAGTCTCCCTTCATCCAGGATTGGTGAGTAAGAAATGCTACAGAGCACTTAAATGAACTTTTCCTAGAACTAGAAGAAGCAGAAATGTGGAAAAAGTGAAGAATCCAGTGCAAAAAGAAGTTTGGAAGATAGTTTATCTATACATGACAACTATGAATTGGTTTGGTGCTTCTATATCCGGCTTTTGAGAAGATAAGTTAACTCATGAGAGGCCTCTGTGCAAGTGACTTGCATTGGGTATATAAGGAAACGTAACCAGTTAACTGGTTAAGGGAAAATTGATGGGCTATACATATATTTACAAACACTGTACTTGCACTGTAAAAGATAAGCACACTAAAGGCAGCTAGAATTTGTTGCCTCACTCTTGATTACCCGGGTATTGTATGAGCCACAACATCCACATTTGTGATATAGCCAATGGAAGCGTGAAGTGCCCTTTCGGTCACAGTCATGGCACAGTATATCCTGCATCGGAATTATGAAAATGGGTAAAACAAAGAGTTGACAAATCACTACAGCTAGTGATCTGTTATTGTTATTTTATTTCAGATTGTTTTGCTGGAAATTTCTTTGATATGATGATGAAAATAACACCGCTAAATTAATGGATATTCATACTTCAGCATATGGTTCATACTTGGTACGGGGTAATTTCAGGGTTTCATTCTATAGACACTGGTTATGAACTGAAGAGAAAAGAAAATGTCATATCATTAGTTAGTGGAAAAAGGGTGCACTTTGAAATTTCTAAGACGGGGATGTCGTATCATATACTTTTGCATATGGAAACATGGCTGCTTTAGCAGTTTTTTTTTTTTTCCTTTCTGTAGCTCAAAACGTTGTTTGAATTGCGAGAAAACTTTTTTAAACATACTATATTTTCTTTGGTCAAATCAATTTAATGGTGTTCTATTCACAGTATACGTTGTTCAACTTCACCCAAAAACATCATATTACAATATGTGAAAAACAATATTGGTATAAAAAATAAAGAGAACGGTGGTCACATAACTATTTTATGTATACTTAAATAAGTGAAACTCAAGTCAAATAATCTTTAACATAGCCTTGATATACAGACATACACATATAAGCCAGACATAAATCCTAAGAATAAGATGGAAAATACAACTAGGTAGGCTAGAGGAAACATAGATCCTGGTTTGCAACACAACACAAAAAATAATTTAATTTCTCATTTAAGATTAAATTTATAAATTCTTTGACGCATTTTATTATAAAAACCAAATTAACTTTTAAAAGGAAATTAAGTAGAGGGTAATATAGCATTGACCTTATATAATATCTAAGAAGAGTTGGAAGTACTACCTGATAGCGGTCCCTGTACTCTTCAGGAAGCTCCTCAGCGGCCAATAAAGCATCAAGCATACCAAAGTAAACCTGGGTAGATGTAGGAAACAGCTAAGTATTGCATGCCATGAAATTTTAAGCATTTCACTTTCCACTTGAAAGTTCAATACACATTGTGTTTTGACTTAATATTCATATCTCAATACCCAACCGATAGTAGAAGCGAACCCCCAAAAAAGGGTTCCCAAAGCCCTCGGTCAATAACACACAGTTACCCTCTTTAGTTAATCATACCGGAAAGAGTATACAAGTCTTGATGAGATTTAACATGTGTATTGTAATTGTAATTTCTTTGAAATAATTTTTTTTAATCAAGTGCCAAAGGGTAGCATATGCTTTAATACTCTTTAGTTATCTCAAATTTCTTATAGTGTGTCAACACAATCATAAAATAAAAAAATGTTCAGGATCAATAAATGTATAGAACTGTATGTCTATCAACAAAAAAACTTTGCAGTATTCGACTTCAAAGTAGATAGATATATAAAAAGAATAGTCTTACCGCCATATCTCCCAATGATTTGCTGCAGATTGGACACGTGTAGTGGCTACAAGTGTATGCCTAACATTTTACAACAACGTATAAGATTGAAGTCAAAAACTTCTTTCAGATTTCTTCATTCCAATAAGACACAAAAGACAAATGATTCAAATGCATGTTTTCTCTAGCTGTTGTTTTTTCCGTTCAAGTCTGTCATAACTAAACCCTTAAATGAACACGACATACCTGAAAGCAAGATGAATGCATGTAATGCCCACATGGTAAAGCTCTCACTGTTGCACTTGATGTGAACAAGTCATCACAGCAAATTGGGCAGTTCATTTCTAAACCTTTCTCCAGGCACTTATGAGAGGCTGATTTTATCCCCAGGCAACAATTGCACTTCATACAATGAAAATAATCAATTCCAAGCCCTTGTCCAACGCGGCATATATTGCAATATGGGCAATGATAAACATTCCTGAAAAAGAATGATGCAAGGTTAACAACCAAAAACGTACAAGAAAATTTAAAATTAATAAACGACCAAACTGGACAGATTATTAATTGATTAGATTGTACAGAACATATGATTCTAAGTGTTTCTTGCTAAGATAATCATACAAAATGAAACTTACCAAGAAAATAGAAAACCCTCAACAAAAAAGAAAATGAATATAACATAACTTCCCAATCTCTCCATGTATATGTTCAAGAATACAGATTTTTCAAACCTGTTACTATATTCTCCATCTCTTTCCAAAAGAGATGATTTTGCTATTCTAATAGTATGGATCTGGCCTTGCATTTAGTTTAACCGTTTAATAAGTCCTCAATGTTTTGTATATCTTCTTTGAAATATCTATAACTTTTTAAGATGAACTATGTTAGATGGTCGATTGGAACTAATTGCTCATAAGTACATTTGTCATTGTATGTCCTAATGCAGATAACTGTGATGGTCAAGGTACTTGGCCCATGTCATAGATCCCAAACACATCCATTGCGATAACTGAGACAAAGAAGGACATATTCACAGCTCGGAAAAGCACATAGCATTGGGATACTTCCCATTCAGGTCTGGCGTAGCATATTTCTTCTCAAAGGATTTATGTACAGTGTAAAACAATCAAAAACTGAAGGTACCATGGGTCTTATGCCAGTTACGGATGCTAGCTAAGACACTATAGTTCTAGAGAATATTCTTTTAGATAGGCAAATGTTTAGTTGTTATATGTTAGTTATTGTTAGCCTGGAGGATTAACGATTAAACTAAGATTCTTCCAACTTCAGAAAGTAAGTTCCAACAGTAAGAAGGGAATATGTGGCAAGGTACGGTTAGCTCACATGACACCTAGAATGATAATTACAGTGGTGTGCTTTTATCATGGATTCTGTCCTGGTCTTGACCCCCCCTTCATAGGCCTATTATAACTAAGACTTCTCTCTGTAACCAAAAAACCAAAAGAAGAAAACAACAGTTTTCTACTAAATCTATTGATTTCTAAAGAACCAAAAAGTACCTTTCATCATCAAAGAATTTGCAAATGTTGCAATAGTACTTTGCCATTGTAAGTCCATTACACGAAGGTGACATGCATACAGGCCCAACAGGTTGTATAGTCAGGCAATGCATACACATCATTTCCATTGTTGCTTTTCTGCAATTATCAAACAGATATTTAGAAATACATGTCATCACTAAATATTAACAAGCCTTGTGAAAACTTTACCTATCCATTGAGTGATCGCTAGCATTGTCATGACAAAATCTGCAAGTAAATAACTTGCTGCAACACGCAGCTCGAAGCTTGCAATTTCGCTTATAGTGCTCACAACCAAATATTTTTTTCTCTGGGTCCCGAAATGATGGTGAGCATCCTTCTATTTGTTTACTCGTAGATTCCCCAGATGGAACCTTAGGTAACTTCTGTTGGGCAGCTATCCAGCGACTACAGTAACAAAGTAGCTAATCAACCAAAGCTTGAAGAAAATATGTAAACTGCTATGAAATGAACATGCAATTTATTATGTTGTAATTATATAAAACAAAGGGAATTAGGATAATTAGAGCAAACCTTGTCATTAGGTTCTGCACAAGATACGCCTTTCTCCTTGGATCAAGAGTTGAGTCACGGTAGACCTTCCGAATTTCTGACTCAAGTTCATTCTGATTCATCCGGAAAATGTCTTTCCAACCTGGCTTGAACATCTGATCATTCAGGTTCAAACTTTCTTGATAATCTCCACCTAGTACAAAACCATACACATTATACTTTAGATATCCATTCTGCAATTTTCATGATACATGAAGAAACTAAAATAATAAAAACCTCTTTGAGAAGTGCTACGCTCTGAAGTTTCTGCCTGTGCTGTAGATACAGGACTTTCTTTCAAGCATTCATTTAGCCATTCATTGAACATGGTGTTTTTAGTTGCCTGTTTCCATGTGTCCATCATTTTGCTCTGTTCATCCTCTGTAAGTGCGGAAGTTACCCAAGGTAACATTGACTGGAGCACTTCAGCACCCGTGGTTCCAATTATCCGGCCCACTATCTTGTCTTGTTCTTCCACAGTGAAATGTTTTCCAAACAGTGGCCAGAGCTCAAGCTCTTCTCTAAAAATATGTTGATCAAGGGTTACTCTAATAGATTTGCACATTCCTTGAAGCTTAGTTGCAAGCTCATTGTACTTCTTGATATTATCACTATCATTGGCATCAGAAATTCCAAAAAAAATTTCACTTAAATCTGCTGATATATGGGTCCTCTGCAAGACTTCATGAAGGACAGAAAGTTCAGAAAGTACACAAGAAATATCTTCAAATAATTTTTCCTCCTGCTTATGATCCAGTGTGTACGAATGGCTCACATTATGAAGTGTCTCTTTGGATTCAAGTGCAGGAAATACTATATCATCTTCAGCATTACTGTGAGCTCTATATAAACCCCACAACAGCCGGAATCTTCCACTAAATTGCCGAATAATTGTTTCATCACCATCACAGAGCTTTCCAGATTCAATGTCTAAATACTCCAAGTCTTTGCGTATGGCTTTATGGAACTTAAATATGGTATCTATCGGTCTTTCTGTAGAACCAACATCACATGAGCTGTTGTCAGTTTCCCACACGAAAAGACTAGAATTAAGGGATGGAGCCGAGGCAGTGAAAGACAAAGAGCGTAAGGACTTGGTTGTAGATAGTGGACCCAGCCCCAAATTGTTCCTGCTGACTCCTAAAGCTGGCACACAACAAGACCGGGAACTACAACATTGTTTCTGAATAATTTCACTTTCTGATGTTTTGGAGACATCGTCTTTGTGCACCTCCAATATGTTTCTCTTGACTGATCTTTGTTGGGTCCCATCTAATTGAACTAATACTGAGCAATCTCTACCAGACATTACAGAAGCAGAAGTACAGGAAGATTGAACAGTATTTTCTTCAATATCAGTAATTCTCTGAACAGGACAGCAGCCTGACAAACTTGAAGACAAACACAGACCATCTTTACGGGCCTTGCAAGCCCAACCACAGAAAAGTGTGACTAAAGCAGAATCTATTGCTGGAGCTGGAACAAATTGACAAATTGTCAAATATAGAAGACACAAAAGTAAATTTCTTAAAAAAAAAAAAACAATTAAAATAGACAAATAACCTGCCAATTGCATGTTTTTCAAAAACATCTGTGCCTCATTTTCAGTTAATGAACTAGTCAACCATGGTAGGACACGCTCAATCAACTTCAAAGGCATCATGCACAAGCTTTGATAGAGAAGTTCACGTTGCCTTTTGAAGCTAAAGTGCTTCCGAGCAAGAGGAAGAACCTACAGAAATGATGGATTAGGTACACTAAAAATATAGGTTAAAAGCTAGCTTCAAAAGGAAATTATTTGGGGAAATTCTCGCTATATATGCTCAACTTTAGATTAAGAAGAGAAGTCTCCTTCCTATGTCATACTTTTTTATCAAAAAAACAACAATAACAACAGCAACAACAATAATAATGATAATAATAATAATAATTAGGTAATACAAGAAATGCTAATTGTTATCGACCTTTGATGACTTCTGATGGAACTTCCGCACATAGGACAAAAATCCCCCCAACCAATTTATTAATCATCCTATTGAAATATTAACATTTTATGCATTCACTATAACACATTCGCATCTCACTAGAGGAACTCTTGAGAAAAATTATTTAACGACAAATGAAGAATTACCTGAACTTCTTCATTATGAAAATGCCTCTGTATTGTTTCCAATATATGATCAGCATGTGAACACAATGTTGAATAAAATTCAGTTTCTGAACTGGACGTTGCTCCTTCACTTTGAATACTTTCAATCAAAGACCGAAAGTCATTAAATTGGCTTTCTTCTTCAGCATGCTCTTTAAAGAAAGAAAATTTTCCATCTACTGCTGGAAAAATAACCTTGTCCTCAGCAATACTGCATTCATAGAAATAAACAATTAACACTGCTTGTTGCACATTATAAGTCTACAAAAAGAATGAAGTACAGAGGATTTTATTTTAAGAACATAGCCATCCTTTTTTGTTTGACAGTCATTCTGTCACTCTATATCATGAAAAGATCCTCTAGTAAAAATTACTACAACCACTTTCCATGACACCTTATTTCTTACCCATTCAATGTAGTGATCACATACTTCTAACACTACATAAAGAATGTAGTACAGAGGTAGCTTTTAAGAGAGTACCAGACCTTAATCTTTTACGATAATTGTTTTGTCAATCAACGAGCTATGTGGTTGATTGTTTTGCCAATCACAGTAAAAATTACTGCAACCACATTCCATATTTCTTACCCATTCATTGTAGTTGTCACATACTTCTAACACTGCATAAAAATGTAGTACAGAATATAGCTTTTAGGATAGTTACCACACTAATCTTTTATGACAATTGTTTTGTCATTCAACATGCTATGTGATGTTAAAATAAAAAGATCACAAGCTCCTCTGATATTAAAGTACTATATCTACATTCCATGAAAGTGCATTGACAACCGCTATTTTACTCCTTTAGGATAGATACTTTTCTTTTTTTATTCATTTAGTATTATTAATCTTATAAAGCCAGCTCAGATCCTTAGAGTATCCTAGAGGTTATTTCCACAATTTAAACCTAGAACCTCAAGGTCACGAATTAGCAAGCTTACCATTCCTCTAAGGCATTCTCTCTTGGTTGGTATTACTAATCCAATTATTTGCACATTTTACAAAGTTAGACAAAGTGAGAAGCAACAAATGAATTCTTGTATTAACATCCCTACGTGTTGCACTTTTGACATACTAGTTGGAGAAAGTGCGGAGCAATAATACATTTTTCTGTCTTATTGTTTCTTCTTTTTCTCTATGAGATGTAAGAACAAAAATTTATAAGCATAGGGATTGAAGATAGTATAAAACTGAACAGGGGAATAGTAAACACTAAATTAAGTTGATAAAAAAGAAGAGAGAAAAGCCCTAAAAAGAAATACAAAAATCAAAATAAGAAAATTTTTAATTGAAGACAAGAAGCTTCCAAGAGACAGAAGGGTTAAAAAAATTAAGACAATACCTGTGAAATATGCAAACTTCAGCAATGAATTGCAACCTTTCATTGAAAGCTGACAGGTTAGTAAAATCTCCAGAGAGTTGTATCTTTCTGGTCTGCACTGCTATCTCATTTAACTCTTTTTTTATTGCATTATGCCAGAACAATATTTCATCTATAGGATGTGTTCTCATGGTATCAGAAACATCTATGATAGATGCAGAATATTTCCTTTTCCCACTTGTTGTAGACTCACATGCACATTTCCCATTCTGATGGGTTAAAGGATTAGGACTACATCGCACCTGAGATCGATCTACACAATTTTCAACTGCGTTAGCACTAGTTTTCCCTTCCATCCAGGTGAAAATAACCTTCAATAAGCCAGAGTATAATCAGATTCATTACCATGATAATCAAATGAACATTATTTGTGTTCAATGCATAGAGTAGCATTGAAAAGGAAAGGAAAAAGATGTAAAACAGCACACAAAACTAAACCTTTTGAAGGAGCTTTTCCTCTGGCACTATCTTGCTTAAACAATTCCGCAAATCCTGAGATTCATCAGTTGATATAGATGCTGAAAGCCATGGAAGAAATTCTGTCATCATATTCACTGGAATACTACATAGAAACTGCCAAACTAAAGACGCCTGCTCCTCAAGGGAGAACTTCTCAAGAAGCAGAGGAAATACCTGATATAAGAAACATAAATATTAGACACATGACAACTGGAACAAAATTTTCAGCCATTTAAAATGAAGGATGTGATTGTGAACCATTTATGATATTGGTTTGTAAATTTCCTTATGGTCAACAGTCAAACACGAACATATGTAGGCATGATTGTTTGAATCTTCTAGATTATAACCTCAACACATGCACAATTTTTAAAATTTTATCAAAAACAAACACAAATTTCAATGCATTTTTTCTTCTAAATGGTATTTTGATATCAATAATAAAACAAAGTAGTGAAATATAGTCTGAGTTCTGTCAAAGGCTAGGTACCTTTTTTTCTCTAGACAGAAAATATGAAGTTATTAAAGTAGTAAACTATGTAATGTAATCACAGCAATCGACGATGTAGAAGCAAAATCTGCAATTGCTAACATTAGAGACAGCATCTGATCACTCTATTGTTGCCAAAAAAAAAATTATATCATTGATTACCCCATTTTTTAATCATTATTAAATAGTTCGAAGACCTCATGGTTGGGTTAAGAGTAATAGCCAGAATATTTAACCCATTTAAGTAAGCAAAGTATGCATAAAATAGGGGAAAATAATTTCTATAGCTATAGCACGTAGGATTCAGCATCTAGCCTGAAATAACTAGACAGTAAATAGTAGGCATTTAAGATCGTATGGAGGAAAAAACCAAGTCCACCTTTCTGTTATCTTAAACTTTTCATTTTTATTTGATAATCAAAGTTCAGGTGGAAATCAACGAAAGAATTATTCATTAAACTTATACCTGCTCCTCTTCCTTAGCCATGTGTTGACTAACTGATGTCTGCAGAGCTCCTGTGCAGGATGCTAACTCCTTTGGGAAACTTTCATCATTATCGATGGAAGAGTTTAACAGATCAAATAGATGCTCAAAAATTTCACTTTCACCCTGGTGTTCAAGGGAATATGTCTGTGCTACATTCTTTACACGTATATCTAGAGCTGGAAAAATCACCTACATTTGAGAATAGATTTTTTTCTCAGAAAAGTAGTATTGGTTTGAGAAAGTAGAAAGGATCCTCAGCATACAGCCTTAAAATCACAAAAAGGCAGTCATTGTAGTATGTTCTGAAAAATATAAATCAAACACAAACTTCACATTAATTTTGTCCAAATATTTAAAAATAAATAAAAAATTATAGCAAATCCGTGCAAATAGATGTGGCCAAACATTTTATTGGTCACCAAAATTTCACATCCACCACACTAGAAAAGTATTAATTTATGCGCAGCCAGCTGATCGCTACTGAGTAACGATAATTATTAACCGTCATACAAAAAATCAATTCAATCATGAATCAGAATACATTCTCTTAAATTTAATTACAGCGACATGGTTTAACTACCACAGCCGTTAACTGCATATCAGTATGCATAGCTCAACAACCATAGCAAAATGGATGGTTTAACACTACTTGAGATTGTAATTAATTAAGAAGTTCCTTGTAGACGATAAAGGAAAAGGAAAGGAGTTGGGAATCACATTCGGATTTATTAATCTATATACAATTATGCATCTAGTTCATGTTATTAAAATCAAAATGCGGAAAAAAAAAAAAAAGTAACGAGAATAACGAAAAGACTATATAATTATACACTAGAACAACACATAATGGTTCAATTTTAAAATACTTTCGCACTGAAACTTAAATTAAAGCTATCAAACATCAACCATCGTTTTCAAAACTATTTATTCCTCACGGAAACAAACTCGATTACGCAATCGAACAAGAACCGAAGAATAATAAAATTAAGACAAAAAATAAAGGAATAATAACGGTTCCGAAACTTGCACCTCATCTTCAGCATTGGAGTGGTGTCTGTACATCGATCTGAGGAAATGGTAGCGTTGGAAGAGGGGCTGGATGTCGGAGCAGTTTCCGGTGGCGAACGCCATCGCCAATCGGTGCAGCGTGTCGAGCTCGTTCCGAATCGCCTTGTGGAAAAACGAGAATATCAGAATTGGAGATTCCGACAACGACCGACCGAAGCCGCCGCCGCCATTGGCGGAGGGATCAACCTTGCTCACCGAATTCGACAGCACCGCCACTCTGCCGCCGCCGTCCATGTGCTGCAGCCCCGTCAGTGGCGTCGCCATACGCTTCTAAATGTTCCTCCTCCGTCGGGAAATCTTCACGCGGCTCAATTTTCTGGGAAAGTTCTCTCTCCCTAGGTCTGCAGGGCGCGTCGGTTTCGCGAGATTGGATAGTCAGAAATGGAGTGTGCGCGTGAGGGAGAGAGAGGACGGGTTATTTTGATTGCAAGAGTTAATAAGAAAGAGTAACGTTTTCTGTGTTGTTGCTGTTTCGTTCTATTCTACCCTCTAAGCGGAGAAGAAGGGGTCGTTTGGTTAGTACGATAAGATTAAGAACCTGCGAGGTGGTGAATTCTGACTGAGTGATGTATATCATGATGTTTATATACCTGTGTCATTGCCACGTGGCTCCAATGCGCCACGTAGGATGATGATGTCAACCGAGGGTAACGAGTCACGACGACGAGAGTATTTTGGATTCTCCCTTCGCTTTTTTTTTTTCTTACCCGTATATATTTTATTAATTCTTTTAGGTCCGATGTCATCTATGTTTTTTCTATTCTAATTTTATTAATTAAAATACCCCAGTTTTTTCTTCCAAAAACATCATCATTATATGTAATAAATTTATTTTGAAAATATTCCTTAAAAGATATTAATAATCCAAAATGGTTGTACCTAACTCCATTGATATTCTCACAAACCATGAAAATTAAAGAAAATATTTTGTTCAAAGCAAATATAATAAAAAGTCGGAAAGTGTTGAATCCGTGAGGGTTGGAAGTAGCATGAGAAGACAAAAATTGAAAATTGAAGGAATGATTTAAAAGAGATAAAAAAAAATTGATTGAAGCTAGAAATGAAGGTGGATAGTGACATTGAAGGTTTTATGTTAGATGGAAAAGAAGAGGGGAAAGGGAAAGGTAAAAGAGTTGGCATAGGATAAGAAGGGCACAAGGGAGGCACGAGGAGAGTGTGTGGCGTGGATTAGTTGGCACTTGACAGCCCCATGCCCGTGCAAGCCTTTGCCTGTCATGGCTTTGCACACCACATTCCTACATCTTCCAACCTTCCTTCATTCCTTTCCCCATCAATTTTCTTCTCTTCTCCCAATCCTCTTCTCTTATCATGTCATACCATTTTATTGCCTCTTTTGTCCTAATTTTAGGTACAATTTAATAATCTTCATAACTCTACTAACCTACAAATTTAATAAAGTATACATACAGGAACACTTATTTCTAAGAATTCATTTTAAGAATAAAATATATCTTTATTAATTTTGTCCTATCAAAATAATATTTTTTTTAAATTATAAATCATTTTCATCGAAAATATTTTCAACACATTGCTAAAGGAATTATTTACCAGAATTTTTTTTCATTATAAATAGTTTAAAATTTAATAAAATTGTTTAATTTTGTCTTTTTCCTAATTTTAAATAATTCATTTATGGGTCTATAATAAAATAATAAACTTTATTATTAAACAATCAGTGCTTTTGTATATACTTTTTAACGATTCTTTGGAGATTTTTTTATATATTTCATTTTAAAAATATGTAAAAATGTAAATATATACTAATGTTTTATTCTAATAAAATAGCTATTAAGTTTTTTTTATTTAAGTATTTTAATTTTTAATCCACAATAAATTTATTACTATAAACTAATTAAATACTATATAAAATTAAAGATATATTTCATACAATATTAATTAATATTATTTCAGAGTTTCAAAATAATAAATAAATATTTCAAAAGTTCGACTATTAAAAAAATCTTACTATTATAACAAAATGAAATAAATTTTTGATCGCTCATTTCACTTTTATAACTACAAAATAAGTGTAATTTCTATCATTCATTCTATTTTTCGTTACATATATTATTAGTTTTTTTTTTAATTAAAACAAATAGAGCTGCATATAGGAACTGTAAAGGAGGTCAGAGTCATATACACTAGAAAATAGAATGAAATATTTTTAAGACTGTAAATTTTTTGTTTAGCTGTATAAATGAAATAATTACTTAAATATTTTTAGTAATGTAAAATGAGTGAATTTTGATTTTTTATTTTATAAAAATTTAAAATAATTTATTTTAATTCTTGTAAAATATGTGTTATAATCTTTGTAAAATATTTATTTTTATTTTAATCTTTTGAAATTTTTAAATAAATAAGATGGATAAATAAATTTTATTTTATCAATTTTAAGTTTTTTTAAACTTATAATATAATATTATATCATAATATATTGATGAAATTGTCAATTCAATTTTCGTTACATATAAGCATTTAAGCAATTATTAATACCATAGATACAAAGTTGTTGTATTTTTCAATTTTAGAAAACACAAATAATAATTAAAAAAACTAAAATAAAAAAAAATTTGTTAGTTTCAATTTTTCTAAAATTATTATGAGTAGTAAATTTTTAAAAAATATTAAAAACATATTTTATAATTCTAATTTAAAACTTAAATTTTTAAAAATGACTTCAACTATTCATCATTTTATAGAAATTTTTATGTCTATTATTTTTTAGTTTGTTTTTATGAATGATTAAGTTTTAATATTAATGTGAAAAATATAAATTCATGTTTAAATAATTAACAATATAAATTTATATTACACGATGTTATAACTAACATCAAATTTTAGATTTTACAATTTTGAACTAATTTATCTACATAGTTGAAGATATTGGACGGTTTTAAATCAGATATTGTGTGATGTTTTAAATATCACTATTATCTTTTATTTCTTTTCGTGTTAATCTTATTGACAATTCTCCTCTTCTCAGTTTTTAACATTCATTCTTCTTCTTTATCATCCATAGGTATTCTTCAATAAAATTATGATATTTAATTCATTAGTACACAATTTTTTTTACATATATTATTTTTATTTTTTATGTTTGACTAAGTTTCATTCCAATATCAATAAAAGAAATATAAATTTACGTTAGAGTAATTATTCGATATAGAAGCGCTAATAAATCAACGTAAATTTATTTATATTTTGAAATGATTTTTTTTAACAATTATTTTTGTGAGATTAATGATTCCTCTAGTTATTTATCCTTTATCTTGAATTCATATAAATATTCAATAATAACAATTCAATAAATACATTTATGTATTATTGTGATTAAAATTTCGTAAAATAATCACAATTTTAATTTTAATAAAAAATATAAACATATAAACACTAACTTCAATTACATAATTTACGTTCAAATATTCAAATCCAAAAAATAAAAAATTATCGGAATAATCAATCACAATATTAATATTGTTAAATACTCAAAAAAATCACGTAATGATAATTGTGACAGTCACTCAATAAAAGAAGAGATACAAAACAAAACTTGTGTTGAATCATATAAATTTCAATATAAAAAAGTGGGTTTAAATTTAAAAATTTCCACATTATTTTTTGTTATGTAAAAGCCACATTTTACACTAATAACTCGAGACCCATCTAATTTTAACTAGATATATTATGCATGATTAAAATCTCGAAAAACAACTGCAACAACTACAATTTCATGCATGCCCAAATAATCTGATCCAAATTGAGAGAAATATCTAAAATCATTAATGGATCATTTATTACTCATCGGAGAAAAAACTCACATTAATATAATAATTACTGTTACATAACAAGCCATTCTCTCACGTTAAAAAATATAAAAAGTTTTTTTATGCTTAATTCCATGCTGACATAAAAAAAATAGTAGATTCAATCATTTTATAATTAAAAATTTAATAATTTAATAAAATTACAATTGAAGAAGCATGTTTTACAAATGAAAAAGAAAAATAAACATGTAATATATATTTTATAAATTTTTTATTTTTATTTATTAAAAATTGAAAATAAAAATATATTTTAAACTATTTTAATAAAATAATTAATAAATAAATATTAAAAATTTAAAAACTAAACATTTAAGATTGTTTTTAAATATAACTATATAATTATAAATTAAAGCGATCCTTCTAACACTATACAAACACATAAAAAAAATGTTTTGATGATTAGTGGAACTCAAGCTCACATTATATATGGGTCTACTATGGGACAGGGAAATTCTGAGGAAGTTGAGATGAATAGATCTGAACATAAAACAGAGGCATCATCAATTAATAATTTGACATTAGGTTCAGGTGACCTAACTTCGGAGAAAAAGTGCCCATAGGTATCTAATCGAATGATATAAGTTAAGTTAGAATGAAATAAATAAATAATATAAATAGACCCTTTATTTTATTACTTTCAGGTGGGTCAGTGTGATTTAACCTTGATTTTGTAACCCAAAGTGAAACCATGAAGCCTTTTCTTCATCAAATAATGATTCATCAATTTGGTTACTACTAAAATATTAGTCACCACAATTCAAGTGCGCAACACAGATTCTAAATATATTCTAAGACATCCCTTTGCAAAATTGTCAAATGAACACTGTTTCCAGTTCCAATAGACATCACATGATGAACAGAGAAAGTACGAGAAAGTCTTTTAGGTTTTACTGTACATTATAAGGGTAAACTATATAAAATACAACAAATATAATTACTTATTATAGATGATTAAATTAGATATTTCGATAATATTCAAATATTTTGATAATATTTAAATATTTTAGTATGATCTCGAGCATTTCAAAAATTATCTTAAAATATAAATATCTTTATTATTTCATCTCATTTGATTATCAAAGACATTTATCATCTATTTCTCTCTGTTTTACACAGTCACTTTAACCATTAAAGTCTCTTATAAATATTTTCTTACATACTTGACGTATTAGGTCGAGAAATTCGAACTCTCTTTCCAAATTCGATAACAACACTTATATAATTATTAAACTAAAAAATATAAAAAAATATTAAAATGATATTTAATATTTAATATTTTTTTAAGAGAGAAATAAATATAACTATTTCTACAATAAAAAATATAAAAAGTAAATAAAATATGCATATAAGAAAGATAAAAGCACGTTATTATCTTCAAAATAAATAAAACTTAATTTATTTTTTCAAAATCATGTGGTCTGATCTAGAATCACACAACTACTTATCCAATAAGATTTTTCAAGATCCCATGGGTGTAATCCACGTATAGACAAAACACATGAACCGTACAGATAACTACTAACGCAATTCAGCAACACTTTGTGTTTTCCAGCCTTTTGATGTTTCAATCAAGAAATGCAAATCTTGATGGTCTCTGAGACGTTTTCCATTGCAATTTGTCCCTACACCGAAAGAACTTGGAAATGTGCACTTCATCGATTCATGACATTCCACTAGAAAATGGAACTATAGTGTTGAGAACAACGTTATTTTGGGCTTTCAATATCACAAATCCACTCCCAACGTTATTGTCTCTCTCCAAACATGGAAGATGAATCCATTTTACACTTGGACTCAGTTCTATTATATAATTTTTGGTCTCTAATCTTTGTTACTAATGTAGACATAATTAACCCACTAATTTCCAACATGGTTCATATCTTCAACTACAGTTAGCAGCAACCTTATATAATGTGTTTCACACATTAGTGTGACTCTTTAGGATATGCTTTTGTTGATTCTTTAGGATGAAAAATGTATGACTCTTTAGTGTGTTGAGTCTGACTAGATAAGACTTAGGATAATTTCCTCATCTCTTTGATAAATATCACCTCTTTGTTCCACTTTGAGTCTTCTTTAAACTATTTAAAACTTTTATCCCTAAATCAACCTTAATAGTTAAAATGATTGTTTTTGAATATTCAATGGTTTTTACCAATTATTTAATGTTCCAGGACCACCAATGTTCTTGAAATGAATCAAATATGTTAACTTGGTAATGAATGTCCTTAATCCAAAGAAGGCTATTCGTATAAAATGTTCTAATTAGAAAATAAGAACGTGATATTAATAAATTAATTTTAATATAAAAAATAAATATAAAATTGAGAAAAAAAGGGTTCGAAAACCCTAATTGTGTATGAATGATATCTATCTCTTTTTCTAATGAAATAAAGATTAATATGTATATATTTTTTAGTTAGTAATTTAATAAGGAGTTTGAATATTTAAAGTATTATTTATTTACCCACCTTTTGTATAAAATATTTAATTATTTTTATAATTTTATGCAATTAATAATGAAACCCAGCCCAATACAAAAGCCCGATCCAATGAAACTCAATTAACATGAGCGACAGCCTCACAGGTATCTATCTACGTCATTTTTCAGTTTAGAATAATATTACTGTAACATTTATGGGTCTGACATAGAATAATTATTTTCAGTGTTTATTATTTAAGTATTATTTTTTTATAAAATATTTATTTATATTAATTAATTGGTCATATTCTATTTTAGATATTTTGAATTTTTTTAAAAAGCGTATTTTAAAATTATTTACTATTTTTTAATACGGTTAGTTTTAATAATATATTATTTTATTATTACATTTAAAATAAATTATTAATATCGATGTTTTATTATTTATTAAAGAGAAAGATAACTTCATTATAAAATATTAGTCTCATAACTAATTAATATATGCTTATAGAATATTTATATAAAGAAAACAAAATTGTGATAAGAATTTTAAATTATAATTATTGATTTTAATTAGTCATTGATTTATTATATATTAAATAATATTTACAAGAAAAAATATGTTTCAGAAATGTAGAATATTTTCATTTATAATAAATTAAAACATTAATACATTATTTTTATGCTTTAGAAAATATGATGAACTGAAAGCATTTTCTCTTTTAATACTCTAGAATTGAATTTTAATTTTAAATTTTGTGCTGAAAAAAATATAATGAACTGAACGTAATTTTGTTTCAATAATTTAGAAGCAAATAATACGTTAAATTATATTAAAAATAATTTCAAGTTTATAATTTTTATTAACTTTATATTTGTTAATAACAATAATATGTTTAAAAAACAAATTGGTCATTAAATTGATTATTTTATTAGATTAATGGTTAAACACTGGGTTGAAAATAAAATTTTATTAAACAAAATATATCTGTAATCTATTTTGTAACTGTGTTTTTTAAAGGATTTAAAAAATAAAATAAACTAATAGATAAAAATAATAAAAAATAGTATTTCATATTCCTCAATTATATTTGTTATTTGTTCTCGTTTTGTTGTAGTGGTCTTTGTTGTCATATCATTTAATTATAATACGTCATTATAACTTTATTAACTTTCATAATAAATATAGCAAAAGGTATATTAATGATAATTTTTATTGATTGATGAAAGCGTATTTTTTTACAGGTCGCATTAATTTTAATGTTTACTCATTGTGTCCATAAATGGTTTGTTTGGATTTTTTTTTCTCTTTTATAAAATTATTTTCTATTTATTCCTTGCATTAATATTTAAAAAAATTCTCTTAATTATTTAGTTCATAAATAATAGATTTTATTCTTAAGAGGACTGAAGAATGAAAAAATAATAATAAAACTTTATTGTTTTTTTCATCTATACATTGATTATTTAGGTGTAGTTTAATTTTTTTTACAAGTATAAACAAATTTAATATTTATTGTTGTTAATTAAGTCAAGTACTTTTTTTTAACTGTCGGAAAATTGTTATTTATTCAAGATAATATTAACTCTCAATTATGTAATTAATTTTTATATGTTTTAATTAATTTTCATATGCACATTTGTTATGAATTAGAAGTGAAAAATAGATATGCAAAAAAAAAAATATAGTTATTTTATCAAAATTAAGAAATTTTGTTACTTTTTTTAAAACAACAACAATAAATAACACATAAAAAAGGGGTGGCTTTCTTAATAATTGATTCCGAATTAATGATCAAAATCTTATATATATTAGTGACTGCAAAAGCATTTGATTTACCAAAGCAAATAAATTTTCAATAAAATTCATATACAAAAAATATAAATCATTATTCGATGCTATTGACTATAATATAATTAATTTGTTTCATCACCGAAAGAAACTAATTTGTCAGATTTATAATATAAATAATTGATCTGAAAAAATATTTATTAAGTTATGACTAGATATAATTACCACTTAAAGTATTTAATTTAATGATATATCTTAAATAAAAATTAAATTTGTTATCATTAATTAAAACTAACCAATTTAACTACTTATAATTAGATGTTTTTGACATAAAGAACATATTTTTAGGACGAGTTAAATATTTATTAATGAAAAACTATTTATATATACGAAATGGATCAATGTTTTTAAACTGATAAAAGTACACCATTTTATTAAATTTAAATCCATTATAATTCAAATTAATTTTTAATCTAAATTATAATTTATCCAATCTATCGATTTTGTTACCTCTGCTTCAAAAATCCTACTACAGTAAAATATATATGTATATTTTTTTCTGAGAACATTTATTCATTCATTCATACAGAGAATATTTGATGCAAATTCATGTACAGAATATACATACGTATTAAAACATTAAAACAAAGTTTAATGAGGAACAAACTTTAAGGCCTGTTTGATAACAGTTACTTATATTTAGCCAAATTAAACGTTTTTTTTATTATTATTTAATGTTCCCATTGCGTGTACAGTTCATAAACATTCACAAACACTGTAAAAGAATACAACTTTTCTGCCCCCACCTCATGTAAACTACAGAATATATATAGGTATTGTTTTTGTATCAATTTAAGTATCTCTTTTTGAGTCAAGAATCAAGCATCATGGATGTTTCTTCTATCTGTCTCTTCTCTCTCTCTCACTGCATAAAAACTCAACAGAGACTAGCTAGCCACTAGTTCATTATTCTAGCCGCACCATCTCTTCCAATCTGATTCTGATTTGTCATCACAATGAAGAACAAGGAGCAACAAGGCAAAGGTGCAAGTTCATATCTGAAACTCTTCTGTGCTCAACTAGACCTTCTCAACTTCGTTGCTCATGCTCTAGTTTTTGGCATTGGTTTACTCATTGGCATAACTCTCACTTTCTTTATCAAGAATTTCTCCTTCATCAACTTTCAAATCCAACAATTCTCCCTCCCTTCCTATACCCTCAAACCACCACCACCACCTTTCTCTCCAATCTCCTCCAACCTCTCATTATCAATATCAAACAACAACCAAACCAAAAACGCATCTCACTATCCTGTAGGATTAGTCTTTGACTCTGGACAGAAAAACACGTCCTCTTCACCCCCAAAAGATAACCAAACCACACCTTCTTCTGATTCCTCCATCAGGGTGACGAACTTCACCAGAATTGGATTGAGTGAATTCTTGAAGCCCCCAATGGCCATGCATGATATGACTGATGAAGAGTTGCTGTGGAGAGCCTCCATGGTTCCAATGATCCAAAAACTCCCGTTCAAACAGACTCCAAAGGTTGCATTCATGTTTCTGACAAAAGGGCCTGTGCTATTGGCTCCTCTGTGGGAGAGATTCTTCAAAGGAAATGAAGGGTTGTACTCTATCTATGTCCATTCTCACCCTTCTTTCAATGAAACAGTGCCTGAAAGCTCTGTGTTTCATGACCGCAATATCCCCAGTAAGGTAAGTTTCTACATTCCACCTTTTCTCAGTCTCTTCAGATTTCTTCTAAACAAAACTGTAAAGAATTGATAAAGTGAAGAGTAATTTAATATGATATTATATATATATATATATATATATATATATATATATATATATATATATATAAGAACATTTAATACTTTGTTTAGAATTCTATGGGGTGATTACTTTATAACAAGTAATTAAGGAAGATTTGTTCATCACCAATGTATCAAGAATGGAATGGACGTTTCTTTTGTCTTTTTCTATTTTCCCATTTCATCAAGGTAAATTGGAATTCCGTGTTTTCCAGCTGTGTATGATAAATTAGGGTTTTAAAATTAGCAAAAGATTAAATAATAAAATTCATTTCCTTATCCTAAAATGGTTCATAATTCATATTTACAATCCGTGTAAGGACTATTATGCTATTATATGACTGATTTTGCCCCAAAAGCTGCTATTTTTCTAATTTCTTTTACCATTTACCTTTTGGGATTCCATTGATGACTTTTAAGTAACCCCATTATTAAGAATGAATTATAGTTATAACTTTTGTTTAATCTTTATTTTATATATATATATATATATATATATATATATTGAATGTAGTTATTTTTTTTTAGAAAATTTAATTTAAATTTTTATGTTTTTAAAATTAATAAAAATAGTCATTGTTTCGGTTAGTATTAATTTTTATTAATAAATTAAATATATTTAAGAATAAAGACTACCACAAACAAAATATTTTTTGTCTGTAAGTTTTTTATTACACGTAACAGAAATTTTAATTATTATTATAATTAAAAATAAATAAAATTCTAACTATTTTTTTACCTACCCAAACTTTTTCTCTAACTTTCCCACCGTTTCTTTTCCTTTCCACCCTTCTTCCCTCGCCACCTCAAATTTCAACTCTGAACAAATGCTGAATTTAGAGGCTTTAATATTTTTCGCATCATTTCTCTCTCTTGAATTTCTTTTGCACATTAATTTTTTTTCTCTGATTTTAAATCATATTATTTATAAATTTATATTTTTTTACCATTTTTTTCCTTTTCGTTTTTCTTTTGACACTGAATTCTAAATCCTAAATTAGGAGGTTTTCATTTTTTCACACCCTTTTGCCCTTTTCCTTCTCTCACAATTTTTTATTTTATTTCAAAATTGTATCATATTAATTATTATATTAGTATCTTTTACTTTTCTTTTTATTTTCCTATCTCACATCTCATCGTGTGAAATGATCATCATTGAAATTATTAAAACATTTTCAACTAATTCATAAAAAAAACTATTCTTTCAAATGAAATTAAGAGAGAAATTTTCCTGATTTATAAACAGGGATAGAGGAATATATTTTCATGATTATTGATGACTTTAGAATATGCATTTTCAAGTTTCAACATCTATTAAAAAAAATTCAAAATCAGTCCACACAAATTTGTTATTATCTTGGCAGTATCTCTTAACATGCATGTGCTGTTATAATTTATATTAGGAAATTGGTAACTTGTGAAACACTTATCTTAATGAACCTGAACCAGTGGACACTTTTGTAATGTGTAATTAAGTTTCTAAACATTGTTTCGATTTTTCTGTAAGATTGCTTGTTAGAAGAGTTTTGAGGAAAGAACAACTAAACAGACTCCAGCTAAAAGGCTGAAAAAGATCATTACCAATACCTTTAAATAAAACCTTTTGCTGTCATACATTAGAATGAGACAGCTTATATTTTTTTCAGTGACATTGTTATTTCAGATGAGCTTCAATGTTTAACTTAATAATCTTCATCAATTCCGTTTCTTCATGGTTAACTAGTTATCCATTTGAATTCCATGTTTTTTGTCTGTATATTGACCAATATACCATGGTAGATTAATTTTAAAAAACTGAACAATGTATATAAGGTTCATTGAATCTTTTGAATTTTCCATTTTTTTTGTTTCTACTTTTTGGTTGCTTCCAGAATCGGACAGTCAAGACAAACTGGTCATACTTTTCTTTGATTCCACTCCTTTTGCACTTCAAGAAAATCCTATTCTTCTCCATTTTGAAAACCACTTATTCAACCCCCATCAAACTTTTCACAATTCCTTTCTTCACGTACATTTCTTGCATGAGAAAACGAATCTGATAAGGACAAAATTAGTGCATCTTTTTGCTATTTCATGTATGTTTTGTTAGCAAACATAACTTGAAAAAACTTTAGAGCATATATTCATCTACTTTCATGCAGAAGAATTTGATCTTTAAGCTTTGAAAAACATGCAGATTTAATCCTTCATCTCTAAGAGTTCATCATTGTTTTAAAAGTCAGAAATATGACTAAATTTATATACTTTTTAATTTGAAGACCAAATTTATCAAGACAAAATAATAGGAACCTTGGGTTTAGTGGTAGGGGTGATAGTGAAATCAAAATTTGTATTAATGGACTTAGATACCCTTTTATTTGCTCAAAACATGTCCTAAAATTCATGATCTGATATTCCACTGTGACAATGATGCAGGAAGTAAGGTGGGGTGAGAACAGCATGATAGAGGCAGAGAGACGCCTATTAGCCAATGCACTCCTTGATTTCTCCAACCAACGTTTTGTACTTCTCTCAGAGGCATGCATCCCTTTGTTCAACTTCTCCACCATCTACACTTATCTAATGAACTCAACCAGCACCTTTGTGGAGGCCTACGATCAGCCAGGTGAAGTTGGTCGTGGCAGGTTCAAGCCCAAAATGAGGCCCCAGATTAGGCTCTCCCAATGGAGAAAAGGGTCTCAATGGTTTCAAATAGACCGTTTTCTTTCCCTTCAAATAGTCTCAGATCACCTCTACTTCCCAGTTTTCATGAAGTACTGCAAACCTAATTGCTACAGTGATGAACACTACTTGCCCACATTTGTTAGCATCAAGTTTTGGAAGAGGAACTCCAATAGGACCTTGACATGGGTTGATTGGTCAAGGGGTGGTGCTCATCCTTCAAGGTATTACAGAACAGATGTGACAGTTGAGTTTTTGAACAAGTTGAGGTTTGGAAGGACATGCGAGTACAATGGACACACCACCAATATTTGTCATTTGTTTGCCAGAAAATTCACAACTCATGCTTTGGATAGACTCCTCAGATTTGCTCCAAAGCTCATGCAATTCAATTGATCTCTCTCACCGTACTCTTCTATTTTTGTTTGTTCATATTCATTTATGTGTTTTTATAATTTATTTTTTTGGTTGAAAATATATATTATATTCAGGGGCTATGAGAATTTAGCTGTTTTTTTTTTTTCTATTGATTATGTATTTTATAGTTCTTCACATACTTTATACATGATACTTTTTTTTCTCACAAAACCTTCTTTTTTATATCTGGGCCCAAATCTGGGACAGTCCACTTATTAAAACAATATTTATTGTGTTGGGCTGTGATACATACACACATTAATTTTTCAAACATTTATGTTTGAATTTTATATTATTATTCTCGTTTAACAAGAAAATTTTATTATTTTAAGGATGTCAATTCGAGGTTTATAAGATTTGAGATTTTCAATTTTATTTTTTTCTTTATAATAATTAGTCTTCTTTTATAGAATATTTTATTTTCTATTTTTATTATTTATTTTCTTATAATTTAAAATAATTAATATTATTTTAACATTTATTTTTATGATTTTTACTATAATAAATTAAATTAAATGGTTCGATAATATCAATTAATTAAAATCATCATATCAAAAATTTAGATAACTACGTTAAAATTATTAATTTTAAAAATATAAAATATATTTAAAATAAACTCAAATTATAGATTGAAAATAAAATAGAATATACAAATACTCTTTACTTTATATTATATTTAAGTGTGTGCACAAATGTTTGACCTTCTTAACTATAAAAAAACAGTAGAAAAATATAAAGATAGTATTTGAAGAAATGAATTTTGAAGATAAATATTATTTTTATATAAATTTATTCTAGTATATCAATTAACAATAATAATACATAAAATTTAAAAACTAAACTAAAAAAAGTAAGTTTAAATTTATAAAAAAATACATTACTAAAAGTATTATATTATATTAAGATTTTCATTATTTTCGTTAATTATAAATTTAAATGTGTTTCATAAATAAAATTATAAATTTAAATGTATTTCCACTTTTGATGCATCATAAATAAAAATAAATAGTCTCTTATAAATGTTGTTCTATTTTAATCCATCATTAAATTTGTTTTATATATGAATTTGATGACTTATCATATTATTAAAAATTTGGATGAAATAATCATGTATAATACTTTTTTAGTATATTATATTTTTAAATTTGCTAATAGAGAAAAAGTTTCAGAATTCAAAATGTTAAATACTTTTAAATATTAAAATTGACTTTATAAAAAATTAAGAAAAAAACAATTAATACAAAAATATAATAATGATAAAAATATTATAAAAAAGAGTTCAAAAATGTATTATAATATTTTTAGTTTTAGTTTAATTATATTTTTAATTCTCAATGTAGAAAAATATATTGTAATTATTTTAATTTAATAAAATATAATTTAAATTTTTAATACTAAAATTAAAATATTAAATAATAATAAATTTAATTATTTAAATTTAGTATTTAGAAACTAAAATTATTGTTTCTCTGTTTTAAAAAATTAAAAATAAATATTTAAAAATAAAAATAAAAACTAGTATTATCTTAAATTTATTAAAAGTAAAATTAGATCTCTATTTTCTTATGCAATTTTAGAAATTTTTTAATGAAAATCCAATATATAAAAAATTTGAAAATTTTAAAAAGCACAACCTTAACTTATATTAACTGTTTTTTTTTAAACTGACAAGAAAAATTTGGCTTAAAAAAAAGTTAATAATTTTAAAATTATTTAAGTGATAAAGTTTCCAAATGTGATCTATAAATTTATTGAGAAAAATTAGAGGTATGTTTAATATAAATTTAAATATATTTTTAATTTATTTAAATATAGTTTATTTTTAGTATTTATAAAATAGATTAATTTTAAAATTCTAACTTTTCTAGCAGTCTATTTTTAATATTTGTTATTAATTATGTTAAAAATGAAAAATATTAATTAGTATACTTAAACTAAAAAATATTCTAACTAAAGATAAATATATTTTTATAAATAATTTAATTAAATAATATATTTATTATCTAATATATATTGATATAATTTTTTTTTGTATATCAATTATATGAAAACAACCATTGTTAAGTAATTAATAATAATAAAGCAATAAATTTAAAAATTAGATTAAAAATAAAGTATTATAAAATAAAATTGTAATAATTTGATTAAAATTGTAATTTTTTAATTAATTAAGTTAATGAGAAATTAAAATGTGATAATTAGATGTGTTTAATTTTTTTAATATAAATTTTTAAAATATAATTCAATTTCAATTGAAATTGAAATTGAAAAATAAATTAAAGAATATTTGTTATTAAAATTTTCTTAAACAATATATTGAATAGTTAATATCACTGTCTTAATTTATTACAATTTAAATTTTTAATAAATTTGATTTATTTTTAATAATATTTTTATTTTAGTAATTTAAAATTAAAGTTAATCTTCATTTTGTTAATATTGAGACCAAAGTTTATTTTTAAAGTATATTTTAAAAATTAAATTATTTAAAAAAATAAATTACTTTTAAAAAATAAATTGTAAAAAATATACTAAAACAATTAAAGTACATTTATAAAAAAATAAATTTAAATATAATAAAAAAATAATATTTATTAGCTGTAATCGATTTTAATTCAATTGGTCACTATTTCAATTTATAATTCGGTCGCTAAATGATTTTTTTATTTTAGTGTGGAATAGCCATCGATTTAGCGATCGAAATTTTGCGACGCAAACTATTGGTCGCTATTTCGATCACTAAATAAAAAAGTAAAATCAAATCATATTTTGGTAGCTAAATCGGTTGCTAAATTGCGACCGAATTAACTCGATCAGCTAATTGCGATCGAATTAAAGCTGATCGCTAAATCGGTTGTTAATTGCGACCAATTAAATCGATTGCTAAATCGATTGCTAATTGCAACCAAAATTAAATCGGTTTCTAAATCGATCGCTAATTGCGACCAAAAAATTCGATCGCTAATTTCGATCGCTAAATATGTTTTTTCTTGTAGTAGTAATTTAATAAAATATAAGTAATTAATAAGTACTTATATTTTATAATGAAAAATCTATTAGGTTTATTTATTATGAGAAATTTCAAGTAGTGAATACCCTAACAGTTTATATAAATGAAGTGGAGAGATAATTAGATAGAGATGTGAAAATTGTCAGGTCAGATAGATATGGTGAATATTATGGAAGATATGGTGAAAATGAACAACACCTGGTCCGTTTGTTTAAGTTTTTTAGAAATGCGATATTTGTGCTCAATACACAATACCAGACATATCACAACAAAATAATGTGTCAGAAAGACGTAATCAAACCTTGATGGATATGGTTAGGAACATGTTAAGTAATTCATGTTTACCTGTATCGTTGTGAATGTATGCTTTGAAGACTGTCATATATTTATTGAACAATGTTCCTAGTAAAGATGTTCAAAAGACTCCTTTTTGAGTTATGGACAAGTAAAAAACCTAGTTTGGGACACTTGCATGTTTGGGGTTGTCAGACCGAAGTAAAAATTTACAATTCACAAGAAAAGAAACTGGATGTAAGAATAATCTGTGGATATTTCATTATTTATCCATAAAAATAAAAAGGATATATGTTTTATTTTCATACTTGTAGAATAAGAATGATTGAAACTAAAAATGTTCGGTTCATTAAAAATGGTGAAACCAATGGGAGTGAAGCTTCACAAAATGTGGACATTAAGAAAGTTAGAGTACAAGTTCTTGTAGGTAGTAATCTTCAAGAGCTGTTGTTCCACATATTGTAGAACCACACGACAATCAAGAAGAACAATAAATTAATGATCTCAAGATTAACAATGAGCCGATAATAGAACAACAAAAAGAAATAACATTAAGAAGATCTCATAGAGAAAGAAAGTCTGTTATTTCAAATGATTATGTGGTTTATCTACAAGAGTCAGAAAATGACTTAAATATTAATAATGACCCAATTTTATTTTTAGAAGTCATTAATGGTGATAATTTTGACAAATAGTTAGATGTTATGAAAGATGAACTTAAACCAATGAAACATGAGATCTTGTGAAATTATCAGAAGGATGCAAAAGTGTTGGATGTAAATGAGTTTTTAAGATTAAGCGTGACTCTTATGACCATATTGTTAAGTGGTAAAAAGTTGATATAATTATGCCTTAAATTGTTATGAAACCATTTAACTTATGTTAATTCTAATATATTATTCTCCCAATATAGGATGAATTCGAGAATACCTTGATACAAGAGTAAAGAGCATAATTATCAACATAATTAGAGAAAAATTGAAAGAAAGAAGAACGCTTAAGCGAATGAATGATGTAAGGCCCGACCCAAATTCTCTTATAAAAAGATAAGATTTGTTTTGAGAAAGCAAGCAGTCTTGGAGAAGAGGAGACACGACTACTATTAGGATTTCATCTAATCTTCATCAATTATTCACTTATTCATCAATTAGAACATTGTAATGGCCAACATGAGTGGCTAACTCATTCTCTTAGGATTCGGTGCACTTCCTTTGAACTCTTTTGTATCATGGTGATATTTTGAGATATTAATCTATGCTTTGATGTTGTTATTCTTATCCTTTATGCTTTCAAATGATTTATTCTTGATGTTTGAGGTATGATTGGAAAATATATCTTGAACCCTAGATCACGGTAAGAATATTTGTTACGTTAATTAACAGGAATGGAATAAATGTATCAATTGCTTAACACCCTAACCCTAATGCTGAAAAATCTCTTAATTGTGTGAGGAATCAACATTTATTAGGTTTTCTTATGAATTTCATGTGTGAGGAATCAACATGGATGGTTTGAGTAGGTGACATCGACATTGTTAGGTTAATTGACGTTCTTAATTGATTTAACCATTACAAAAGAGGGATAAGGAAGGAAGTCAATCCTAAGTGCCTTTAATTGATATTTTCTCAACAATTTACAATTCTTTGTCATTTAATTTCAATTCAACTCTTATTGC